TCCCTAACCGAGCGACATAGGTCTGCCTTATGATAGCCCTTGCCGCAGCGGGTGCAAAGAGCAGGGGTGGGCCCTCTGATTTCTACAGTCTCTTTTCATGTGTCCGGGCTTTCCGCAGTTAAAGCAGACCCTTTTTTCGGGCCCCTTAGGGGGGCGTCTCTGGGACTGTAAAATGGCTGCTGCCAGCCCTGCATTGGTAAGAGGGCCCCCTAACTCTCTACAAACCCTAAGCCAGTCCTGCATCCCTTTGTTTTTTCTAGGGGCAATGGCGGCACAGCATTCCTGAGTGGCTTGTTCAAAGACAAGCTGTTCGACAAGAGGCATGGCTGTCTCAGAGTCTCCAAAAATGCGCCCTGCCGCCTCCGTCATCCTAGCCACAAAGTCAGAAAAAGGCTCTTGAGCTCCTTGTATAATCTTTGTTAATTGGTTACCTCCCTCACCCTTCCTAGAGAGTGCCTTCCAGGCCCTGATGGCAGTGCTTGAGACTTGTTGGTATGCTCCCCAGGGGAAATTTGTTTGATTGGTTGCATAGTGTCCCTGCCCTGTCAGCATGTCAAAAGTCCATTCTTGCTGTTCTGGTGTCAAAGATATAGCATTGGCCCTGGCTTGTTCTTGAGCTGCTTCATGCCAAAGGGCCTTCCATTCCATAAACTGGCCCATGCTGTTAAGCGTGGCCTTGGCTATTGTTTGCCAATCAGTAGGTGTCATGGAGTCTCTCGCCAGCCTGTCCAATTGTGCCAATGTGAAATTGGCGGTGACGCCATACTTTCTGACTGACTCTGCTAATTCCTTTATTTGGTTATATTCCACGGGTGCGTATACCCGCCCGTTCTCTAGGCCTTCAAAGACAGGGAAGGCCGAACGTAACTTCCTCCGCACTTTATCAGATAGGAGGGAAAAAGATCCTCGGCGGACCTCATATGGAGGGGACGCTGAGGGGGCCACTTGTGAAGCGGCCATCACAGAATGTGAATGTTTTTGGTGTCTCTTGTTGCCTTGTACATGATCATCTGGATGATATCTTTCTTCCTCATACTTCGCTACTTCCTCATCTAGCTCCGCCTCCTCCTCCGGGTCAAGGCTCTCGTCCTCAGAGCTCCCGGGGCTTCCTGAACTACTTAATTGCAGAGCCTTTAGTTCTCGGACGGGGTATATACTAGTCCCTTTGTCCGGCCTCTCGACAGGCAAAGAATCTCTAGGCTCTTTAAAATACGCTCCCTTGTCAACAGACCTTCCGGGAGGGCCATTTTCCTTATTTGGGGCCCGTTTCTTTTTTCGTGCACCTAACCTCTCACTGCGTTCAGTTTCTGACATGCTATCCTGGACTTCCTCAAGAACATTTCGACTTTCCGCCACAATGGCCTGGCATGTTTTATACAACAAAACTATAAGTGCTCCCAGAATGATAACCAAGGCCTCAAAGCTACCTTTCCAAAGCGGAAACAGGTTCAAGCCAAAGTCCAGAAAAAACATACCTCTCTGAACGTCCTTACCTGCAGTTCTGAATCCTCCTTGAACTCAAGGGGTCTCCGATGGTGCTGACGATGGTTTGGTCGAATTCCCGGGTTTCGGCACCAGTTGTCCTGCGCTATCGTCTCGCCAGCAAGAACGACGCGGCACACTCAGGATCCTTCTGCAGAAAAGCTTTAATGCATCTTGAGAGGGAGAGCATAAGCTTACAGGGCGAAGACCCCGAATGTCGGAAACCCAGCCCTTATATAGGTTAGTAAGCCCGTCTTGGACGTGGCAACTCTTGATTGGTCGCAAACTCATCAGCCCATATCACGCCACGAGGTAGGCAGAGACTAGAAGGTGGAAAATTACTTCGGGCATGCGTACTGACTTATTTACTGCTCAGCATGAACCGGATGTGAGCGTCATCTTGTAATGGCGTCTGCAGGGACGGCAGGCGGCTCCCCACATTCTCCTTCTATGCCCAAAATTAATAGATATTTTATTTTCAGAGTCCTAAATGTCTAGAATGTTTCATTTGTGTGTGTGTGTGTTTTCTTTTTTTGAGACAGAGTCTTACTATATAACCCTGGCTGGCTTGGAACTTGCTGTGTAGACCAGCGTGGCCCTAAACTCAACAGATATCTGCCTGCCTCTGCCTTCTGAGTGCTGAGATAAACATGTACCATCTTGCCCAGGTTTTCAACATCTTTTAGATCATTCTTTTGAATTCTTTGTCTGGGATCTCACCTTTGTCTGGGATCTCACAAAGAATTCTTTTGAATTCTTTGTCTGTCACAGTCATTAGAGTCCTCACTGTGGGAGTTGGTATTTTGCGGGGAGACATGCAGTTTGGTTTTGGGAGTTTCCTGTGTTTTTGTGTTGGGATTTGCACAACTGGCATTAGATCATTGGTTGGATTTCTTTTTTCAAATCCCTTCATTCAATCCCTTCATTCAAGGGGATTTCAAATCCCCTTCATTTAGTGGAAATGTTTGTGATGTTCAGGACAGACTAGGTTGTAGTTGGGTGAAGTGCCATATCTTCTATTAGCCTGATGTTCAGGCACCAGGCTCAATCCCTAGCACTTCCCTGAGAGGCACACCATCTGCAACAAGTCACCACAAAGGGCTTGCGGATGATATAGAATGAGCCATTTCTCAGAAGGCTGAGCTGGAAACCCTGCAAACCAGGTGGGCTGGCCTTCTTTGGAAACGTGAAAAGGGAAGAGTAAGGAAGGGAAAGAGATGTGATCCAGGGCAAGAACATAGAGGACAGGGCTGGTCTGTGATCCAGGGAAAGAGATGTGATCCAGGGCAAGAACATAGAGGACAGGGCTGGTCTGTGGTCCAGGGAAAGAGATGTGATCCAGGGCAAGAACATAGAGGACAGGGCTGGTCTGTGATCCAGGGAAAGAGATGTGATCCAGGGCAAGAACATAGAGGTCAGGGCTGGTCTGTGATCCAGGGAAAGAGATGTGATCCAGGGCAAGAACATAGAGGACAGGGCTGGTCTGTGATCCAGGGAAAGAGATGTGATCCAGGGCAAGAACATAGAGGACAGGGCTGGTCTGTGATCCAGGGCAAGAACATAGCAGGACAGGGCTGGTCTGGTAACTTGACACGGGTATTATAAGTATGTGGGCAATAGATGTGAGAGCTGGGTGGAGAGATAGGGTATGAACTCTGTCTGGAAGTCTCTTGATGTTCTTCTCCAGCTCCCAGAAGCCTGTCAGACCCCTGGAAGTTCCTCTGTGATGGGTGGTCTTCTCTCTGGGTCTTCCTCTGGATGATCAGGTTACTGATACTAGTCCAGCTCCTGCTCTGGCCCAGGTGGAAATGGCTGCATGGTCTTCATTGAGGCTCTGCTAGCAAAAAGTTTAGTACAGAAACAACCCTGGCCAAGGCTGTACATTCAGGAGCCGTAGCTCTGGTTGTTATGTAGTTTTCTCAAGGCGTCCAACAAGTGCTCAAAAAGGATGGTGTTGGCACAAGAGTAGTTGAGCTGGCTGTTTAGCTAAGACCTTTTGTTCAAGGCAGGCACCAAGGTCGAGAGTCCAACATCTGCCAATCAATCAAATTATCCCATCTCCCAGCATCTTGACTTATTTACAGGAAAATGAATATCAGAAGCACTGCCTACAATAAGAAATAAGAATGTGAGGCTGGAGAGATGGCTCAGAGGTTAAGAACACTTACTGTTCTTGCAGAAAACCCAGGTTTGAATCCCAGCACCCACATGGCAGCTAACAACTGTCCGTAACTCCAGTCCCAGGGGATCCGACAGCCTCTTCTGACCTTCGCGGGCATTGCATGACACGGGTGTATTGACCTACATGCAGGCAATACACACATACAGATAAAATTTAAAAAATAAAATTAAAAAAAAGAAATGAGTGTAAAAGCCAGACATGGTGGTGCACACCTGTGATCCCAGCACACAGAAGCCTGAGGCAGAATTCCCACAAGGTTCCAAAACAAACATGAGGCAAAACAGGTATACCTAGCAAGTCCTGCCTCAAACACAAAATGAGGGACTGGAGAAATGGCTCAGCGGTTAAGAGCACTGACCACTCTTGCAGAGGACCTGGGTTCTATTCCCAGCATCCACATGGGGGCTAACAACTATCTAGTTCCAGGGGCTCTGATGCACTTTTCTGGCTTGAACACACAGTATAAAATGAAAAGATTTTTTTTTTTTTGTCTTTTTGAGACAGGGAGATAGCTGTCCTGGAACTCACTATGTAGACCAGGCTGGCCTTGAACTCACAGAGATCCATCCACCTGCCCCTGCCTCCCAAGTGCTGGTTTTAAAGGCGTGCACCACCACACCAGGCTAAAAGATTTATTTTTAAAAAAGTGTGCCAGGGAGAGGCAGATCTCCCTGAGCTGGATCACAGTGACAAAAAACTACCATCTAGGAAGGAGACTGTTCTAGTTTGCCTTCAACTACTGTAACAAAACACTCTGACCAATGCCAACTTGGGGAGGAAAGGGCTTACATCTCCCAGGTCACAGTTCATTATTGAGGGAGCCCAAGGTAGGAACTCGGGGCAGGAACCTGGAGGCAGGAGCTGAAGCACAGGCCATGGAGGAACCGCTTCTTACTGACTTGCTCCTCTGGCCTGTGCACAATCTGCTTTCTTATTACAACACAGGCCCACCTGCCCAGGGGCGGCATCACCCCCTGGGGACTGGGCCCTCCCACATCACTCAACCATCAAGATGGCCCACAGACATGGCCACAGGTGAGTCCAATGATGGCAATTCCCCAATTGAGGCTCCCTCTACCCAGGTGTGTCAAGTTGACACTAAAGCTGTCCAGCGCAGAGACTGAAGCCAGGCATTTGCAGCAGGAGGCACTGGGCAGCCAGTGAAGGCCCTAGCAAGTGGGTGGCAGGACCAAAATGGGGGTGAGGCTGGAGGCTGTGGGACCCCGACAGAGCAGAAAACAGGGCTAGGGCACCTCCAGGCCCCGCCTCCATGCTGTGGTCACACTGCGATCTCCCAGGCTCTTCCCCGCCTCTCACCTCCGCTCACTGTGCCACCTCTTGTGCGCATGCGCCGAGGGCCCCGGAAGCTGCGGTGCGCATCGCATCTGCTCCCCCCCCTCCCGGGGGCCCAACCGGCCCAACGGTAGCCGGGGCCGGATCGGGTGGATGTGGGGCCTCGAAGCCCGAGCCCGATATGGCTTCGGCGGGAGGCGGTGCCTGCGAGGGCTCAGGGCCGGAGGAGCGACCCCAGCCGCGGCCCTTTCTGATCGGGGTGAGCGGCGGCACGGCGAGCGGCAAGGTGAGCGGAGGGCGCGGGCCTCAGGGGGCGGCGGGCGCCCGCGTGGGGGAGGCCCCACCTGTTGCAGGGTCCCGGGCCGGTGATGGCGGCGCACCAGCCACTTCCGGCAGAGCCGCTAGGGTCCAGTGTGCGCTCTGTCCCCAGTCCACAGTGTGTGAGAAGATCCTGGAGCTGCTGGGACAGAACGAGGTGGACCGCCGGCAGCGCAAGTTGGTCATCCTGAGCCAGGACTGCTTCTACAAGGTCCTTACGGCGGAGCAGAAGGCCAAGGCCCTGAAAGGACAGTACAATTTCGACCACCCAGGTCCATCCAGAGTCTGCTTGGAGAGGAGGGGAGGAGGCTGGACTGCTGCGATGTGGGCTTTATGGGCGTGTGTGGGGTGCAGACTGCCAGATCAGGTCTGTGCACAGGTGTGTGTGTGTGTGTGTGTGTGTGTGTGTGTGTGTGTGTTGTAGACTGCCAGACCAAGGCTGTGGGTATATGCCTGTCCTCATGCTCAAGGAGACCAGAGAAGGCTATCCAGCAATCTGCTGTATCCCTCTCTCCACCTTCTCCTTTGAGATAAGATCTCTCACTTAATGTGGAGGGGAGGCTGACAGTCAGCAAGCTCCAGAAATCCTGTCTCTGCTCCTCACAGCACTGGAGTTATAGGTGTGCAGCCACACCTAGTTTTTAATGTGGGCACTGGGAATTTGAACTCGGCCCACATGTCAGGTCTGTGCACAGGTAGGTGTGTGTGTGTGTGTGTGTGTGTGTGTGTGTGTGGCATAGACTGCCAGACCAAGGCTGTGCAGAGATGTGTGCAAGGTGCAGACTGCCAGACCAGGGCTATAGAGTGGTGTGTGGGGGATACTGAATGCCAGGATGGGATTGTACTGGAATGTAGATGCAGTGAGGGGTCCATGAAGCTCAATGCCCCCTTAAACCCATGGGCAGTGGGCCCAAGTTAGGTCAGGAAACCTGGGGTCGCAAAACTTTAACTGGAGCCAGTTGGGAAGTCAGTAGTAGAGAGGTCAGGACTACTGCTCAGTGTTGAAATCTGCTCACTGTCCCTCCCTGCACCTTGCTTCCGAGGGGCCCTTTGCACACCCTACTGCCTGCATAGCTTTTGGATCCCCAGCTGCCTGGGGGCAAAGTCTTCAGAGGGCAGTTGTGGATGTAGAGGCTGATCTGGAGCTCAGGACTTTGGGCTCTGTTACCTGGTCTGAAAGACACCTGTGGTTCCTAAAAGTTGTATTAGCCTTTCCTAGGGACACATGATGAAGACTTGAAGCAGTCTAAGTGGTTATTCCCAGGTAACGAGAGGATCAGAGGCCCAAGCCCTTCCCTCCCCCCAGTGCTCGCTGGTCAGTCCAGTTCCTGGTAGGACAGCTTCATCCTTCATCCTGTGGTCTGCAGGACTTCAGGGGCCCTGCTCTGTAGTCTGAGAATGTGCTTGGGGTCCTTAGCACCCCTGGCCTCTAGCTATGCACCCCAGACAGATGGGGTTCCTTCCTGTCTACCTCACCAGGGCAGCTGGACTGTCTTGCTTTTTGCTCTGTGCTTGCAGATGCTTTTGATAATGATTTGATGCACAGGACTCTGAAAAACATAGTGGAAGGCCAAACTGTTGAGGTCCCCACCTATGATTTTGTGACCCACTCAAGGTAAGCATGTGGTTCTTAAAAGAGCGGGGACCTACACACACTGCCCTGTGGTGGATTCTGCCCCTGTCTGTTTCTGTGGACTACCCTCCAGTCAGGACTTCTGGTATTAAAATGGGCCATTGGGCAGGACCCATGTCCAACCTCTCCCTGGCAGGTTGCCAGAGACCACAGTGGTCTACCCAGCTGATGTGGTTCTGTTTGAAGGCATCTTAGTGTTCTACAGTCAGGAGATCCGAGACATGTTCCACTTACGTCTCTTTGTGGACACGGACTCAGATGTCAGGCTGTCTCGAAGAGGTAAAAGACCTGTGTGTCCCAGGCTGGGGTTGGCTGGGAGTCTTAAGGAGGGCTGAAGGTGGCACCTTGCTCCTGTTGCTGCAGTTCTCCGGGACGTGCACCGCGGGAGGGACCTGGAGCAGATTCTGACCCAGTACACCACCTTTGTCAAACCAGCCTTCGAGGAGTTCTGCCTCCCGGTACTGCCTTTATCCATTGGGAAATCAAAATGGGTCTCAGCTCTGCCCACATTCCCCACACTCAGTGCCCGCCTCTCCCCGTGTCTGCACTGTTTACCTCCTCTGTGTTTCGGGCTAGAGCCAAATGCTACCTGTATTGGCTGCTCCCCTCCCAACCTGGCCCGTGTGTGTCTTGCTCAGGACTTTTGTCTGTTTACTGAATGAATTTGTACCCCAGGGGCCGTGTCCTCTGGGTCATTATTGTAGACCAGATTCTAGGGCCCCCTGGGTCATAGATAGGAGTCTGCTGTTTTCCTTCTTTCTAAAGTTAGAAATCGAATCCATAGCCCTTCTCAAATTGGAGTGGGTTTTGTTTTCTCTTTTTGAGACAGGATATTTTTGTATCCCAGGCTGACTGAACTCATGACCATCTTCTTACTTTCCGTCTCCTGAGTGCTGGGATTTTAAGTGTGAGCCATTACTTCCAGCTTCAAATTGGAGTGGTTTTTTGTTTGTTTTGAGACATGGTCTCCATGTAGTTCAAGCTGGCCTGGAACTTGCTGTGTAGACCAGGCTGGCCTCATTCTCACAGAGATCTGCCCTCCTTGGGCTCCCCCTAGTTCAGCCATGTTCGCCTCAGCAACATCCTCTCCTGTTCCTCACTCCTGCTGGTCCCTCTTCAGTGGTCCTGCATTTCCTCATCAGAGTCTGCTGGAGTGTCACTGACATTAGGATGAATGAGCAGTGAGTGTAGGCAGGTGCCGTTGCCATTGTGTGTCTGTGAGCTGTGCAGGCCCATTATTAAGACTGCATGGCCTGCTTACTCCTCCTGGTGTTTGCAGACTGAGCCACAGTTCCAGAGGGCAGGCACTATGGAAAGATGCCACACCTGTCTTGGCCAGTGATTAAGCTATGAGCAGGCAAGCGCAAGCTTTGCCTTCTGCCCCATCTCTCGCCTGTCTGATAAGTGAGGCTTATCCCCCACCTGACTATGACATAAGCCTCTAGGCTTCATCCCCTGCTGTCACTCCTGGCCCTGAGCACCTTAGTCACCTGGGGAGGAAACAGCTTCAAGAGGCCCTTTGTGTCTTTCAGACCAAAAAGTATGCTGACGTGATCATCCCTCGAGGGGTTGACAACATGGGTAAGGAGGCTCCCGACTCCTGTCTCTTGAGCCAAGAAGCCAAGTGTGTGCCTGGGGCATGTCAGTGTTGTTTATCTGGGGTATAGGTTCATGTGCACTTTCCAAATACTTAAGAGCTTCTGGGAGGGGCCTGTCAGGCAACTGGGAGGTGTTTTCACCAGCCTGGGTTAATACAAGCCCTCATAGCAGACAGGGAGGGAGCTCTGCTGCTGTGCTGTCCTGTCCTGTGCCTTGTCTGCTGAGATGCGCAGAGCAAGGAGTGGCATGGATGGGGAGGGGAGCAGGGCGGGCCACAAGGGCACTGGGAGTGGACATGCTGAGTGCGCTCCGTGTGTACTTGCAGTTGCCATCAACCTCATCGTGCAGCACATCCAGGACATTCTCAATGGTGATCTGTGCAAACGGCATCGAGCTGGGCCCAACGGACGCAACTACAAGAGGACCTTCTCTGAGCCAGGAGATCACCCTGGGGTGCTGGCTGCTGGCAAGCGCTCACACCTGGAGTCCAGCAGCAGACCCCACTAAGGATTGGCATGTGTAGGTTCCCCATAGAGTCATGAGTTTTGGGGCTGGGCCTGGGGATTCCCACTTGTCCCTGAAAGTACAGGCAGGGCTTCCTCTCAGCATGTTCCAGGATGGCATTAGGACCAAGGCCTTCCTAGCTTGGGAGGGCAGACTTGTGCTGATAGATGGCATTCCTGTGTCCCCCGCTTCCTCTCATTGGAGGCGGCCAACAGGTTTCTGGGTTACGGAGAAGTCCCAGACTGCCTAGTAAGCCCTTGATGCTTGCTTCCAGAGGGATGCAGGATACACATTCTGGGGAAACTGAGGAAATCACCTGGGCACTGGCTAGCCCGGTGTTGATAGCGAACCACAGCCATGTTTCCCAGTATGATGTGCTTCATGCATAGACTGAGGAAGTTTTAAGACATGCTATCCATCCTTACTGTTTTGTGACTGGCTGTTTGTGACCTGTAAAACTAGTTTCATGACCTACTAGGCTTCAATCCAGTCTGAGGAGTCCTGGAGGCAGGAACCCGAGGGTCCACCTGGGTTGCTCTAACCAGCACACCTGATGCAAGGACTCATGGAAGTCCTGGGGCCTGAATGGTCCCCACATGGTGGGACAGATGCTAGCAGGCCAGCAGGTCTCTGTGGCTAGAACAGTGTCTACACAGTCTTGTAGCCAGGGGGCTGTCTGTGGATAAGCCACTTGGGTAGGCTCATGGCCAGCCATATACAGGCAGGCCACCTCCAGCCAGGGGAGCACTGGAGTATAGCTGGCCAAGAGAGCATGGCTGCCTGAAGCCAGCTAGTCTCACACACTGACCCTGAGCTCAAGGCCTCAACCAGGCCCTTCTGTCGTTTGTCTTCCCCCTGTCGTGATGGCCCTTTTTGGAAAAGTGTCCTTTGCCATCACCACAAGCTATGGCACAGGTCCCTCTCATTTCTTCCTGTTAAGTACAGCTCTGTGCTTCCCCACTCATAACTGCAGTGGAGCTGTGTTAAGCCCCAGCTGGTTTCTTTTAGCGCTATTGACAGTTTTGTTAAGCTGAAGCCTCTTTGGAGGGAGAATCAATAAATACCACCAAAAAATCAGAATCGACTTGTCTGTTTTTATTTGCATTAAGAAAGACCAGTTCAAGGCATGGAGGTACATGGATGATGCCCTGGCTGTGGAAGGTGAAGATGCTTGGTAAAGTCTCCCAGAAGGGTTTAAGTACAGAACAGTGAGGAGTCATGGTGTCCGGCAGTCAGATGCCACATAGGCTTCACAAAGTTCAACTGTGTCTGCAGACAGTGAGTTGACTAGGGCAACTCTGTGCCAAAGGCAGGGCTGAGACCCTGTTGGTAGGCATTATGAGGTTGGGCCAGGTCTGTGAACTCAAACACCAAGTCCACAGCTGGAGCGAGCCCCAGGCTCATCACTCGGGTCTCCTTGACTCCTTCACTGGCTGAGTGCTCTCCTGCCTTCATTAGTGGTTCTTACACTGGCAGCTCAGCTATTCCAGGGGCCTCATGGGAGATGTGGAGGGCGTGTTCTTCACTGTTTGAAGAGGAATAACTTGCTCAAAACATGGAGCTGCTCCAAAGGGCTGTTGGGGGGTGACGGCACATTAACCCCTGGAGTCCTTGCCAAGCCCAGCCCATCTGCCTGCCAAGGCCCTCTGCTGCTGGAAGACAAACTTGTTTCTAAGAGACTAATGCAGCACTCCTCTGGTTCTCTAGTGCTTTCGGATCAAAATGTCCCAGCTGTCTTTCAAGCGAAGGGCTCGGAGCTCGCCTGGTGAGAGTGACCTGTCCCCATAGGTCAGTGGGAGTAGCATGGTGGACACATGGCATGCGGAGGAGTACCAGGCTACAACCAGGGTGCTGAAGACGGTTCTTTGTAGGCGGGACCTGTAGGGGCAGAGCAGGGTTAGGGCAGCTGGCCTGCTTTCCGCAGCATCCCCACCTGGCCATGTTCTGGGAATCTGCTGCCCACCTGGGCACCTGTGGATTTCACCTGTGTCCCTCAGACCTCCTGGCTTTTCTGTGCCCTGACACCTTCCCTTTTCTGCCTGGGGAGGTAGATCATTCCCACGCTCCTCTCTGCTTCTGGGCTTGCCACAGCTCTACCCACAAGGCCAGAGGGTCCAACCCAAAGCTGTCTATCTACCTGCATCCTACCCAGTCTGGACAGCCTTGCTGTCCTGGAATGCCCATGCTCCAAGGTTGTAAAAGCCCTTCCCCATTTTCATGACCCCAATCCTTGAGCAGAGCAACCGCACCTGCACAAGTGGTCACTGACGTGCTGCAGGACGACTGGGAGCAGGAGGATCTGGAAGGTGAGTGCCGGCAGGTAGTGGTAGAGGAAGAGTGTTCTCTCCATCAGGAAGAAGGGCAAGTAGTTGGACGCCCAGCCACCAGTGCACAGGGCCCCAGCCATCACCCAGCGGGACCAGGCATCTGTGGGAGGGCACATCTCAGCAACACCACCATGGCTTAGTCTCTATGTCACAGTATCCTCAGCACCTGCTTTCTCCCCCTTCCCACCCTCGGGGAAGAGGGACTAGGTAGACTGGGCCATGGAAAGCTGCGGCTCCCTCCAGGTTTTAACACTCTTCTTCTGCAAGACTCCAGGCTTTGGGTGAAGCCAGGCTGAGCCCTGCAAAGTCTACTGCCAGTGCAGGGCCTGGCTGGTCTCAGCTCTACAGGGAGCCATGAAGGGTCTACATTCATTCACCAGCCCAGAACTGGAAGATAAGTCAGTAGAGAGACCAGGTTCCAAGATGAATAAGGCCACAGGGCTATGGTGCCACACTAATCCTAGCAGGCTTTGGGGCCAGGGGAGTTAGTTTTCTAGCATTTCCGTCAGCTGTTGACAACCACTGCCCCAAGTCTCCCACCACTGTTATGCTTCATCCAGCACGTCTGCATGCAGGCAAGCTGGAACTATGGTAGATGAGCACTCCTGCTTCATTGCGTTGTTGAAGCCTCAACTGTACCACGGATCTTAATTGCCACAGGTTTTCTCAGGGAACAAAAATCACCCAGTTCCTTACCTGCAGAAACAAAGAGGGGCCTCGGGCGTAGGACCTGGTAGGGCTGGGCTGTCACTATGCATAATGCATGCCCATCCAACAAGGAGACACTAACCCTCAGGAAGATGACAGACACGCCTTCGCCGGCAGAGCAGGTACCAGAGGAAGAGTAGACTGTAGGTTACCGTGGCCAGGCTGGCAGAAGCCCAGATCACGATGTTCCCAAGCAGGTGGATCTGAGCCTGAAAGCGAAGGGTAGCGGGGCTCACCACCTGCCCTCTGAGCACAGGGCAATGGTCATGAGAGAAAACACACTCGACACTTCAGCAGAGTCCAAACCACACGGGCACATTCTGGAACTCTCTGGCCTGACCACAAATCTGGATGAACCTGTGTCCAGTGGCACTTTCTGGACAAGAACTAATGTTGTCAGTTCTGTAAGTTAAAACTAGAAATTAGGTGTAAAGGAGATCTGAGGGGAGGGAGGTGTTGGGCATGAGCCCAGAGCCTTGTGCAGGCCAAGCACACACTGCTACTGAGATCTACCCCCAGCTTCGATTCATTTGAGCTGGTCTAAGTACCCAGCCTGGCCTCAAACATGATTCCTGTCTCAATCTCCAGAGAGCTGAGCCTACAGGTGTGTACCTTCATGCCTGGCTTAGATTCCTCTCTTAACAAGGCTCTTCACAGGAAGGTAACTCCAGAAAAAAATGCAGGTCTCCACACACACAGCTTGGGGTACAGCCCTGGGACCCGCTCCACGTGCCTCCTCTTCAGTAACCGCCCAACCATTCTATGCTCTTCGCCACTGGACAGGGTGGCGGACACCTTAGCGTTTCCTCCCCAGGTGACTCTGTGCCCAGGGCTGTGTCCACACAGCCCAATGCTGCTTTCAAGAGACAACAACGAGCTCGGAACGGCTCAGGGCAGCGAAATGGCTGCTTCTGGGAAATGCTTTACAAACTTCCTGCCAGGAACCGGGCAACAAAGAGCTTCCACAAGGGCCAAGCCTGGGTTTCCTTCAACCGGCAGCATGTGAGGCCTTGCTTGCTGGCACTGGGTGGAGTTGGGGGCCTTTGCTTTGGAGAAAGCTAGGACTCCAGCAGGAACTGTCCTGGGACTTCACACATGCTTGCTTACACTGGTCTTGGGGTGCAGCCAATAGGCGATGTTGGTGTCCAGGGTGACCCACTCTAGTGGGGTGGAGCTGTACTTGTGTTCAGAGTCTTCACTCTTCAGCGTCAGCATCTTCCACTGCAACAGAACAGAACAGGGTTGCAGAGGACAGTGGTGCGTGGCCCAGCTGTCATCATTTTGTCAAAGGTGTATACTAAACTGCTGTCCCTTGAACATGAAGTTCGTTTGGCTTGTATGGCAGAGGCAAGGCAGGCAGAATAAGCATTGCTGGCTGGGGCCCTGAACTCTCCCAGGCTGTAGGCACAGGATGGTGGCCTGGCTCCGTGGATTCCAGCTACCTGATCTGCAGACTAAGGGACAGGAGTTGTGCCTCCGAAGTTCAGTGCAGGTGTGGGCTCCCCTAGTCTCTGCCTGACTTCACTAGGGTTTGGCTAGCTCAGTACAGCCCATTTTGACCTGATGGGGGCGTAAGACACCCTGACAATGTTGCAGGGTCACACTGTCGCAGAACCTCAGAAATGTTCCTGACTCCAAAGCTACAGGGTGCATGTCACTAGGGTGCATGTCACTGAGCCAGGCAACGGAGGGACACTCATTTCTCTGGTGTCTGAAGTTCCAGGTTCAAGAATGGCTTTGGACTTCTGAGCTCAGCAGCCCACAGTGCTTTCATTGGTAGAAGGTAGCTTCCAGTAAGCAAGACTAGATCTCCCTCCACCCGCTTGTCACCTGCAGTTCTGAGAATCTGGCCATGAAGCTGAGGTTCCTGCTGATGTCCACCTGAGTAGGCAAATGCAGCTCCAGCTCCCTCTCCTCCTGTTCTTGGCCTGATAGAGCACACAGCAGAATACCAAGGCTGGGACACAGGAAGGCTAAAGAGCTGAGGACAGGCACTGCCAGCCTGGCCTCTCCAACAACCCACAAGGACACCTCTCCAAACTGTATCATTCCACTTGGTTCCCACCACACCCCAAATCCTTCCACCCAGTGAGGGACTTGAGCATACTGAGATGCATGAGTCCCTCCCCACAACCCCTCAGGACAAGCACCTGTATTGTCATGGATGGGGTGGGGGGGGATGGCAGCTGCTCAGTTCCTTCTAAACCAACAGCTTTGTTTCAAGGGTTTCCCTGAGTGTCAAATGGTCCACAGAGATGACCAGGGGCCTGTGACCCAGGGCTTGAGCAACTCACTTTTGCCATACCGGTGTTCCTCCACGTTCCACACCATGCTCTCATGGTGGCCCCGTGACTGTTTCTCCCCAACAATCTCCAGCTGCCGAAAGCCCCAGTCAGGGAGGTGAGCACCACTCAGCTGGCAAAATCGAGGATGGCAGTGAGTGTGGTGGGGACAGTCCTGCCTCAGCTGTGCCAGCAGACCCGCCCCAGTTGCCCCCAAGGAGCCCGTCATTGTACTATACACTCTAAACACCCATTCAGGAACCTAGGCTTGAACAGCTCCAGGAATAGTGTGGGGAGTCCAGAGCTTGATAGGCTGACTGACCAGGAAGCCACCCTTTACCTTCAAGACTACAGATGTGTTCACGTGCACAAAGCGCACCTCTGACAGGATGGTCTTCCAGGTGTCCCTGTCAGACTCTCTGTTCACAATATCCTGCAAAAACAGATCTTGTCAGGCAGTGGTGGTCCAGTAGTAGAGTACTTGCCTAGCACGCATGAAGTCCTGGGTTGTCCATCCCCAGTACCACAAAACAGTATAAAACAAACAAGGCTTCTCAGTTATTTCTTTTCTTTTCAAATCTCCTTAAATGTTAGAGACCAGTCACCTATCGCTTTTCAGCTTTTTGTCTAAGACCAGGTGAAGACCAGTCATCAAGTTATGAAATTAACATGAGCTTCAATTAAGCCAGCAGATAAGGAGAGCAGGAGGGGCTGATCCTGGGCTACAGACACTTCATGACCCCCACACTTCCCCACAACACAGTATGCTGGGCCAGCCCCAGGGAAAGGGCACTGTTCCGATCTTGGGCTGCGCAAGAGGCACTTCCCACAGGGACTCAAAAGCCACCCATCCAGTCACCAAGAGGACACAGAGCTCTAGCCAAAAAGAGGGATTTTCTTAGACCATATCCAGCCAAGGCAAGGCAGCTCCCGAGGTTAGACCAACTATGAGAGTCATTCAGGGAGAAATCCTGGCAGAGAGAACCGAAGCCTGAGCATTTTGCATTGTTACAGTCTGACATGCGGGAGCCTCACAAAGACCCATGATGAGAACCACAGATCTCCAGAGGCTGAGCAGGGGCCAGAGCCCAGAGCTGACAAGACAACCTGGGTCAGGTGGCAGCTACCTCCTGTTCCGTGAGCTCTACCTGACCTTTAACGCACACTCAAAGGGCTCCCAGGAGTCGGGAGGGAGTATTAGCAATGGAGCCACTAGTAATAAGAGAGCAAGAAGGGGAACCAGGCACAGCTGGGTCAGGTGAGACACAGCATCATTTCCTCAGAAACAGCTTCTATAAGGAGGGACATAGAACCTCTATCAGGCAGGCCCTCTGAGGAGAGGATGTGAACAGAATGTTCACAAATACACGTAGCACAGACAAGGCAAAAGTGGGGAAGACATGCCAAGTGTGCTGAAGAAAAGCAGTCCCCAGAGATGCAGACCTTTGCTGGGGGAACCAGCAGGGGACTGTATCAAGCAAGCCTGGCACTCCCCACGGAAGTCCAAAATGGAAGGGGCTGAGACATCAAGGCTGCTATAGTCAATCTAGAGCCAGGACAATATCCCCCAATACCCTCCCCCATGGAAATGACCTTGGTGATACTGGGTCAGGTCTGGAGCTGTATTCAGTGCTCAGATCATTGGACCCAGTAAAAAGGCCCAGTAACAGAACACTTTTTACACAGTACTTTTTCCAGGACACCGGACTCTGCAAGTGAAGCAAGCTACCTTACTGACCTGAAGAGAGGGTGACCACAGGCCTGGCTGCCTCCGTAAAATCCCCTGCTCCGACAACTAAAACTCTCAGCAGGCAATAGCCTCTTGCCAGGGTAACTGTGGCAAGTGGGCTCCCATTAACTATAGGTGGGGACTGGCTCAGGGGCTTCCCCTGGGTCACAGGGTGGCTGGAGCACAGGTTTCTTCCTCTTCCTGGAGGATGTCCCAGTTAGCTTTAACTGTCAACTCGATACAGCCTAGAGTCACTGGAGAAACGAGTCTCAACAATAGGATTTCCCAGACCAGATGGGCCTGTGGGCTTGTCTATGGGGAATTGTCTTGATTGTTAATTGATGTAGGAGGGCCCAGCCCACTGTGGGCGGCACCATTCCTGGGGCAAGTGGTCCTGGGCTGTATAAGAAAGCTAGCTAAGGCTAGGCATGTTGGTATATGCATATACCTTTAATACTAGCACTAGGGAGGAAGGGGCAGGCAGAGCTCTGTGATTGGTCTACATAAAGAGTTCCAGGCCAGTCAGAGCTACACAGGTCTCAAAATAAATACATACATACATAAATAAATAATAAATAAAAAAGCAGCTAAGCATGAATCTGGGAGTGAGCCGGTCACGCATTCCTCTATGACTTGTGCTTAAGCTCTGCCCTGCCCTCCCTGGAGGTCAGACTGTACTGTGAGCTGAAATAAACCCTTTCCTCCTGTGCTTCTTTTGGTCATGGTTTGTCACAGGAACAGAATGAGAGCAGACAGTGAACAGGTGAACAGGCCAGAGAGCACCTCCACCTGGCCCAGCCCTGTGACCCCAGAGAACATCAGGGGCCAGACACAGCTTTAGAATGCTCAGTTCCCATCGCTATGATGCACCAGAGCCCCCAGGATTCCTGTTGCACAGCCCAGGAAGTGTCTGCTCCCCATGGGACAGCTAAGACTTGTTCCGTGGTTTAAAACCACTCACCTACCCCATTTTACATCTGAACTAGTTCTCAAAATGCCCTTTAAATGTTCTGGATTAGAAGGCAGACACAGGTCACTGACAGTCATGCACCTGCTGTCCGAAGCAAAGCCCGCCATATGGAGCTCACCAGCTTCCAGAGGTTCTGGGCAGGCATGGAGATGTTGTAGTCTATGTAGCAGGAGACTTCCTGAGAATGGGGACTCAGTGGGGCTGCGACATCATGCCTGGAAGAGCAGAGCAAAGCAGAGCAATTTGTTACTCAGTGACTGTTTCAATAGGGGTAAAACACTGCCTTTCAGAACAAAGCTGGCTCTGCGCACTGAGGCTGGGGGAACCTGGCTGGAAAGGCAGCTCCACAGTGGCCACATCTCCAGGGGAGAGCCACACCAAGGGTGACTCTTCAGAGTTGCTGTAAAGCAGCCAGATGGATGTCACCATCACTTTTTGGACAGGCAGATCAAATCTCAGAGGAAAGAATGGCTGTCACAGAGGCTGGAAGCGTGGGTCTAAGAACTGGCCTGATGAGACACTGCCAAACCCTGGAAAGCAGTGCTGCCAGCCTGGGCCAGCACGTGCAGGACTGTCTCATGGTGGGAGAGCAGGCTGTCCTGTGTGGGCTCAACCTCAGCAGCCACAAGTACCCAGTCCTTCCTCTGGCAGGATCACACTTCATCACAAGACCTGCCAGGCACCCTGAGGGGCTGAGCCCAGCAGCGCACAGACACAACCTTGGTGGCCCTTCAGACAGCAGCATGTTGGCGCTGTGGATGGTGGACTGCTGGGCAAAGTGCTAGAATAAATGGGCAATGTGGAGGAACAAGGCCCAGGCAGGGTTTCTTGTAAGGTGGCCTTGCAGCATGCACCTGTTAGGTGTGGGGCTGGGACATTTCAGCAAAGGAGTGTAGAAGCCCTGAGGTGCTGCACTTGCTCACTTTGGGACTAACAAGGAGGCCAGGGTGATGGCTGAGGACAGAGATGGGATGCAGCCCACATTCTCAAGGGCCCACCAGGGCCCTGGGTGCCGTAAGGTAAGAGTTCAGAATGGAGTGGGTGGTAGGAACGAAATAAAAAGGAGGTGACCCTCCCCAGGGTTGTTTCTTGAGTTTGACATGAGATGTCCTGATGCAAGAAACATGGAAGGACAGAGTAGAGAGAGGAATCAAGGCTGGTGCCAGAGAAGGCACTGTATCCCCTCAGCCCAGCAGATTCTGGGGCAGCAGTGCAGGACAAATCAGATTCCAGACTGGCAAACCAACAAGGGAGACCATGACAGTCCAGGAGATGGGTGGGGGAAGGACCATAAGAAGAGAGCCTTCTTTGGTGAGGGTTGTGCCCAACGCCACCAAGAAGTCAACACAGACAAGGACTAAGATCATGTCAGTCTCCTTCACATCTCAGATGACCCCCGAACTGAGGTCTGCCTTCAACAACTTAAACACACTACTCCATAGAAGAGCGACCACCCCATTCGCTGTAGCAAATGCTGTAAGTAGTCCCTTAGTCTGTCACAACTGAATCTTGTTCCCGTGTTCCGGAAGGCATCAGTCCTTGTCCTCAGCCCCTCCCTTCAGCAGTGGCCCTGGGCCCTCTCCTGACAGCGAATGCCAACATGTGGCTGTGACACGTGGGAACTCAGCAGCGGTGTCCTGCTTTGCTCTGAACAGAGGTCCCAAAGGAATCCCAGGAGCGGGTGACACGGGTGGAGCGCTCACGTGTTGAGGAGGCGGGTGGTCATGCCGTGGACCAGTTGCACAATGTCCCCATGTCGCACAGGCCTTGGAGGGTTGTTCACCTCCAACTGATGCCTAGGAAGACAGCGCCGTCAGGATGACACCCAGCCCTGTGCTCCTGCACCATCAGCTCCCAGGGTGTGGCAAGACCCCTTAGTCTCCCAGCAGACACTGGGCGGTGTGTACCCTCAATGTGCCTGCACCTTGTGTGAGGTAATATTGTAAAGAACCAAGGCACAGATGTTTCATTTAACATTTTTTCAACCTAAGGTCACTTTCCAAATTGTCAAATGGGATTCGATTTGCCGTTCACATCTGTCTATGAAGAACATATCGGCTGACAAAAAAAACCCTTTGTTCAGACTTTCTTCATACTGCCCAGTAAAAGTACGTCAAGGGCCCGGTGCGTGGGCGGGAGCTGAGCTGAGGGCGGGAGGTTGCACACCTGCAATCCCAGCAAGCTGGGGGGGTGCACACCTGCAATCCCAGCACCAAAGCGGCTGAGGCAAGAAGAATGAGGTCAGGTGTGGGTATAAGGAGAGACCCTGTCTTAAAAGCAAATAAAACCAAAACTTCAGGTCCTATCAATTCCCCAACACTAAGCTGAGCAAATGCTGAGCAAATGGCTAGACAGGTCAGGCAGAGGCCAGTGTACCCCTCGCTCACAGTAGTGAGTGGAAGAAACGGACAAGCAAGCACAGATCTAGCTAGAACAGTATCAAGAGGGACACAAGCCAGCCTAGGAAAAAGTTGACAGTAGAGGAGGGGGGCAGCCTTTAGATGGACTGGCCTAGGAGCCTCCCCAAGGAGCCAGCCTTCACACACCTAGTAAGGGTGCAGACAGGTAGGTGTGGAGAGGGCCCCAGCCAGGCATGGTGTAAGGGTGCCGCTGGATGCTAGGGTAGGAGCTGCATGGGCAGGAGGGACTCTACCACCAAGGAAGCACAGGAAGGTGGGAACAGGAGAGTGCTCTGGTCAGGTTTCCTGGAGGCTGTGGTGCTGGGATGGGGAGTGCAGGAGTAGAAGCTGACTGCTGGTGGAGAGGGCAGGTGGAGCAGGACCTGGATATCCCAGGCAGAATCCTTACATCTAGACACAGGATGAGCACAGGGAGCCCACACACAAGTCACAATTCCTAGGGGGAGACACTGAATGGCAGGTCACTAGGGCCTGGAACAGCTGACATTGCACTGACTGAACGATGCAGGGACTCCAGGCTCAGAGGCTGATGATGGTGTTGGGCAGGGAGTGTGCGTGGAGAGGAAGCCTAAGACTGAGCCCAAGGCCCTGTCCAGTCATGCGGGGTGGTGAGCTCTGCTGCAGAGTTCCAGGACCCACACTCACCTCCTGGGATCCTTTACAATCCACCAGTTATTGATGTCTTTGAAGGGGTAGCAGGTCACTTGCTGCTGGTGGGAGCTGCCACGGCCATTCTCATATCTGTGAGAAGTCAACCAAGATGCCCTGAAGAGCCAGCCAAGACACGGGCTGCTCTGCTCTCCCTCAGTTTCTACAGATGGAAGATTTCTGCAGATGCCACCCAGGATGTGCCACCCAGCAACAGAGTCTGTGCATGCCTCAGAAGCCACTGGTGGAGATAGGGCCCTTGTGTGTCATGCCCCTCCCACTGTTCCACACAGACACAAAATTCATGGCACTGGGGCCCCGAAGTCCTGTTGCCTCCTGAACTTGTTTACAGAAAGTGAAAGTTTCAAGCATAAGCAACCTGGGAGACAACAAAATATTGTGTGGTCTGCAAACTAAAATGGTCACTTTCCTTACATCATGGGGTAGGTGTTCTGGTGGGAATGAAGCCAGCAGGGCAAGGGCTTGCCAAAGACGTTCCTCAGAGTGACCTGGGACCCGAAAGCCACCTCCAGGGGCTGGCCTTGGGTGATGCGGGCTAGCCCCCCCTAAGACAAATAGAAAAGGGCTCAGGTGAGCTCAAGAGAGACTAACAATCCTTCTACCATGTGGGTCCCAGGATTGAACTCAAGTGTCAGACTTGACGGCAGGTGCTCTTACCCTCTGAGCCATCTCTCTGGTCTAAGACTAACAATCATAAACTAGCTTTTGTGACAGCTTCTCTGCCGCCTGGGGTGACAGTCAGGGTAGTGGCAAATACTACTGTGTGATTTGTTGTAACTAACGCTCAAAGACTCTTCCTATTGAATTACAAATTGTAAGTATTTCCTGGCCGGGTACTTAGTCTTTCTATCATACATTCCTCGATCAGTGTCCTATGAGAGGGCAACGAGTATGTCTAAAAGAGGAGGAAATGAGACCAGGGCGAGGTGACGTGCACATATATCTGATGTTGGCAGAGCCAGGATGCTTGAGCAGGCCTGCTCAAGGATGTGCACCTCACCACGTGCCCCGTGCATTTTATAGGAAAGTAGCCTTTCCCTGACATGTTGGAACCAGAAATGTTGACAGTGAGCCTTGTCTGAAAGTCCAAAATCCAAAACGTTCTAGAACTGTCTTAGCATCATGTTGGCACTCAGAAAGTTCTAGAGATTGGAGCACTTGGATTTTGAATTTCTGTATTAGGGATATTTAATCTGCATATATAAAGTTCTCAAGAACTTTAAACTCTTATCAAGTAAGTCAGACTGGGACTCCAAGAAAGCCTGATCTCTCTGATTCCCACACAATTGGTATATTCAAAATTCCTTTAAATATACAGACATGGGGCTGGAGAGATGGCTCAGTTGTTAAGAGCACTGATTGCTCTTGCAGAGGACCTGGGTTTGATTCCCAGCACCCACATGGCGGCTATGAACCATCCTTAACTCCAGTTCCAGGGGAATCTGAAGCCCTCTTCTGACCTCCACAGCACTGCACGACATGGGTGCACACACATACATGCAGGCAATACACTCATACACTAAAATAAAAATAATAAACCGGGCGTGGTGGCGCACGCCTTTAATCCCAGCACTCGGGAGGCAGAGGCAGGCGGATCTCTGTGAGTTCAAGGCCAGCCTGGTCTACATAGTGAGTTCCAGGACAGCTGGGGCTACAGGGAGACCCTGTCTCAAAAAGGTCAATGTGCAGACCCAGATTGAAAAAATACAGTAACATGCAGGCAACGGCAGATCAGGAGCTGAGCAGCCCGTGATCACAGGGAGAGAGGCAGCTTTCAGCATTTTGCTCAGAGGAGCTGCAGCTCTCTAAATGTTCTTTCTGGATCCTGATCAGAGTACTTGGTCCATTAAGATTTGGGGTGCACGTCATGATTCTTGGATCAAGGGAGAGGTCATAACGACCTCCTCTTCTTAAAAAAAAAAAACAGACCTGTGCCAGGTGTGGTGGCGCACGCCTTTAATCTCAGCACTCAGAAGGCAGAGGCAGGCGGATCTCCGTGAGTTCAAGGCCAACCTGGTCTATATGGCAAGTTACAGGACAGCCGGGGCTACAGTGAGACCCTGTCTCAAAAAAGCCCCCCAAAAAAAGAAAAGAAGAAAGTACACAGAGACGTGCCTTCTTCCTTCCTTCCCTGCTTTATTTTTGGTCTTTTTGAGACAGAGTCTTCCTGTAGCCCCAGCTGGCCTGGAACTCGCTATGTAGAGCAGGCTGGATGCTATCTCATGAAGTTCCATCTGTCTCTGCCTCCCTCCCAGGTGCTGGGATTAAAGGTGTGCCTCATTTCTTGATCTTTCCTTTCTTACTCTCTTGCCCCTGTTTATCTATCTATCTCTCTATCTCTCTATCTCTCTATCTCTCTATCTCTCTATCTCTCTATCTATCTATCTATCTATCTATCTATCTATCTATCTATTTATCATCTATCCATCCATCCATCCATCCACCCACCCACCCAGCTAGCTACCTACCTACCTATTTGGCTTTTTAAAACACAGTCTTGCTAGATAGCCTTGGCTGTCCTAGAATAGACCAGGCTGGCCTTGAACTTGTGGCAATCCTCTTGCCTCTGCCTACTGGGAGATGGGATTTAAAGCATGTACCACCAAGCTAGGCTCTGACACTGTTTAGATAGAAACTTTGAGTCTATGACTCTCAGTGCTCTGAAGTGGTCTGGTCATCCTGCTTCTCACCTCCAGGCTGGCTTGGAAGGCACTGGACATGACTTGGTCATGAGGCCCAGAGCGGTAGAGCAGCATCAGATGGACATAGAAGAAAAGTAAATACAGGACAACTGGGACGACCAACAGAGCCACTGCTCTGGCAAGCAAGTGACAGAACACACAGACCTGCCAGGGGATGAGAGGAGAGGTCACTTCCCATCTGTGGAGAGGTATGTCCATTTCCAGACACAGCATGCAGGTTGGAAAAGTTAGTAAGAAGCCCCGCCTCCCACGCAGAAGCACTGCAACTTGGAGGTGGGGTTCCCCCCGCCCCCACCCCCATCTGCTCCCAAAGTCCTGAGGACCCACTTCTTTATGCCAACTCCTTCCCAGGACAGCCCTACACCTTAAGCCCAACATGGATCAGTCTAACAGCACTACTACCAATACCTACATTTGACAGAGTTTGGTCTCCAATCAGGTGCCAGGCATGGACAGCTGCAACACCGAGCACCAGAAAGTAGGTAAAAATTCCCATGTATTTGATACTGAAAAGATGAATTGAGACAAGGTTGCAATGAGACATGTAACGTCACAGAGGGGAGAATAGGATCTAAGTTAGGGGCTCTAACTCACCCAACTGCACAGGAACAAGAGACCCCGGTCATCACCAGCCACAGCCACCAGCGCAGTGAGAAAGGGCTGGGATGAAACAGAAGGACAAGGTGCTCACAGGGCTCCTCCCGCAATAGAGGAGGTGCACGTGCTGTGAGCGGTCTCTGGGTGGGCTGGTCCTACTGAGCACCAGCCACGGTAAGAATCCCCATTCCCCAGTTTTGGTCCCAGCAGAATTTTTCTTTTTGCTAAGAAAAATTTTCTAGGAAAATAAGGATGTATTTATAAATATTAGGGTTTCAAACCACAGCAGCCCTCCCCATCTCCAACAGGGTCTCATGGACTTCAGATTTCCCAAGCCCCAGAGAAAAGGGAACCGAGTTAAGTACCCTAGTCTTTGAAGTCAAGGGAAGCAGACTCTTCTAAAAGGCAGCTTGCCTTTCCTTTGATCTCCGAAGACAAGATAAGCAATTCCACCTTTTAACCAGAGACTTTGGGAACTGCTTTAGCACAGCAGCTTTTCCCTTATCTTAAGAGGACAAAAACAAACCCTTCCTGACCCAGATCCCAGCTGGGAGATGAACAGAGCAGGGTTTACAAGCCCCGCTTTTCCTGCCCCCGCCCCTAATTTTTTCCAAAAGACTTCCTGTCTTCTGTACCCCGAAGCCCCCTTATAAAAGCCCCAGCTCACAATCCGGGGCTGACATTTTCCCTTCCCCGAAGGGAACATGTCCCGTGTGAAATAAAACTCTATCGCGATGAGAGTTTGATCTATGTCTTGGTGCTTTTTCCCCAGATCAACTCTATCTGTTCATTCTCCGGCTACTTTTTACCTATCAGTAAAGTCATGGGCTAAGAGTTGACCCCCAAGTGTTAGGAGACCAAAGGCATTCAGCAAGCAACTCCTCATGATAAAAGACATCAGAACCCAACCAGACCCCGGCATGGTGGTGCATGCCTGTAATCCCAGCGCTGTAGAGGCTAAGGCCAAAGGACTGCCACAAGTTCCAGGCCAGTCAGGGCCACATAGCAATACCTTGTCTTAGAAAGAAGAGAGGAGAGAAGAAACCACCTAGAACTGTTTTTCCTCCTGAACTATGAAAGATGCAGCCCATTTTCCATACCTGTGTGTTTGGGAGTTGAAGAACTTCAGGTAGGACAACACGGCCAACAGATTAAAAAATATTAGCAATGACTCCAAAAGCACGAGCCTGGACTGAGTGATCAGGGCGTTCTCTGTTAGAGACAAAGCACAGGTAAGCACAGGTAGTACAATGAGTGAAGATAGCCAGTCACAGGGGAGGCAGTCATCTCTCCACAGAGACAGGACTGAGGACACCAGGCCCACGTGTGCTTACACCCCTTATATGCAGAGGCAGGGCATTTGTGTCTAACCCACACGTGTCCTGATGCATATTTTCAAACATTTTAAGATTACTTAAAAGCAGCTGGGCATGGTGGCGTAAGCCTTTAATCCCAGCAGAGGCAGGTGGATCTCTGTGAGTTCAAGGCCAGCCTAGTCTACATAATGAGTTCCAGGCCAGCTGGGGCTACTGGGAGACCCTGTCTCAATAAAGAACCCCCGCCCCAAAAAAAAGATTACTTAAAAGCTCTACTACATAGGGCTGGAGAGATGACTCAGTGGTTAAGAACACTGGTTGTTCTTGCAGAAGACCTGGGTTTGAATCCCAGCACCCACATGGCAGCTAACAACTCTGTAACTCCAATCCCAGGAGATTCGACAGCCTCTTCTTGTTGGGGACTCCTGCTGTGTAAAGTAGCAGTCTCTTCATGTCCGGAAAGCCCACGGGCTCGGATTCAAATGCAGAGACTCCTTTTTCAGCAGGGTGCTTTTCTGGCATCTTCCTGACTTGTCTTTTGAAGTAGCCGCCACAAAAACATAGCCTCGGGCTCTGGAAATGCCAGGCTTTCCTGTGTGATTTTTCAGGCAGTCTGGCAGCCTGGCAGGAGCTTACTTCCACATGTAAATGGGGCATCCTAAAAGTACCTATCAGCTAAGGTTTTTACTACCACCCCCATGGTATAAGTGTCCTGGTTTTTCCTCAATAATTGGAGCTGGAGCTGGATTACTAAGACTTGGAGCTGAGCAGAGTCAGGAGAATAAAGAGCTGTAACACGGACTAAGCTGAGTCCCGTGTCTTATTGCCTACGATCCAGCCTCCCCAGGGGGCGCTTTCCTTCCGTCATCGACTCATGGAAACCCAGCTTTAGCCGCCTTGCACCTTCCCGCGTGATCCAGCGGCGGGTAGATTTCACATCTCGAGGAAGTGCACGGGTGAAATTAGGGCGGAACTCGGCCAGGCCAGGCCCGGTAGCAGAGGGACTCACAGTGGAGAAGCAGGGGCCTGCCAGCAACGCGCTGCAGGACCCGCCGCCTTCCCGGTGCGCACAGGGGACCGGCGCCACGTTAGCAGCTGGTGCCCCGAGATCCCTGCGCACCCCATATCTTCTGACCTCCGCGGGCATTGCACGACATGGGTGCACTTACCTACATGCAGGCAATACGCGCATACACTTTCTGTAACTCCTGTTCCAGGGGATCTAGCACCCTCTTCTGGCCTCCATGGGCATTGCATGATACGGGTGCTCTTGCATACAAGCAGGTAAAACACTTGTCCACAAAAATACAAATAAGCCCAGTATGGTGCTGCATGACTTTAATTTGAGCACTCGGGAGGCAGAGGCAGGTGGATCTCTGTGAGTTCAAGGCCAGGTTGTTCTACATAGTGAATTCCAGGCTAGCTGGGGGCTACAGGGAGACCCTGTCTCAAAAAGACCAAAAATAAACATGCAAATTAAAAAAATATATACTTATGTATGAATGTATGTATGAATGACAACTTTTGTTTGTTTGGTCTTTTTGAGACAGGGTCTCCCTGTAGCCCCAGCTGTCCTGGATTCACTATGGAGACCAGGCTGGCCTTGAACTCACAGAGATCTGCCTGCCTCTGCCTCCCGAGTGCTCACAGAGATCTGCCTGCCTCTGCCTCACGAATGCTGGGATTAAAGGCGTATGACAACTTTTGGGAGCCAATTCTCTCCTTCCATCATGTGAGACCAGGGGATCAAATTCAGGTCATCAGGCTTTGTGGCAAGCACCTACACCCGATGAACCATCTCACTGGACCTCTTTGGGTATTTCTGATCCATAGTTGGTGGAATCAGAAGACCCAGAACCCTCAGAGAGAGGCTGGCTGCATTTAACTAAGGCAAAGGCAACATTCCAGGTGTCACAGAATGTTAAAGCTGGAAGTTCAGGAACAGGATGGCTGGTAGGGGCCTGCTCCAGAGCCACCAAGGCAAGCTCTTAGGTCTGAATCATAGTTGCACCTATGTTAACCTGGGTGTGTCAGGTGACTTTTCTGAGCCTTTATTTTTCTTATTTGCTGAAGGAATGCCAACTCGTAGAGCTGCAGTGAGTGCTAAAATGTGATGTGGGCGCAGGACCTCATATGGAATCATCATTAAATTAACACTATTTTTTGTTTTCTAATCCAAATTTTCATCCAATTTAATCTAGCTGAAAGAGGATCCATTAATTTAAGAGTCCATTTCAACTGGCTGAGGCCTGGGAGATGGTAGAAAGCGGCAAGTTCTCAGCTCCTGATAACTTGTTTGGAGCTAGAGGTGATCGTTGATGACGTGTGACCTGGAGCACTGTCTGGAAGCCCTTACGTCCAATATGGCCACATCTCCACTACTAATAGAGTCTGATCGTACAGGAGTCCCATAGTCAGGGAAGTTTCTAGGAGTAGAGGTCAAATCTGAATGAAGCACATGTGTTTCCTATGACAACACACATACCAAGACCATGACCTCTCCTATCCTCATGCCAAAATGTCACAGTGCTTGGTTCTTCCCTGTACTATGCCAAGGGCAGGTGGGCAGGGGTCCAGGCCTTACCAATGAGCATCAGCAGGGCAGCTCCCATGGCAGTACAGTGGGAAAAGTGGAGCTCCAATACTATCTGGTAGGCCATGGGGACAGATAGGGCCCCTGCAAGTGCTGGCAGCAGACGCAAGGACCACACAGGCACGTTGCTACTGTACTCTAGAAAGGGAATCACACCGATTAGCAGAGCTGAGAGCATGGTGCACACACCATCTTCACACATGGCAGGTTCTAGACTGACATGCAAGGCCACAAAACTGGGGAGCACATTAGCGACTGAGTATGCAAACTTTGAAAGGCTTTAAAACTCGCTTTGGGCACTCACGAGGCAGAGGCAGGCGGATCTCTGTGAGTTCAAGGCCAGCCTGGTCTACATAGTGAGTTCCAGGGCAGCTGGGGCTATTTCAAAAAGGCAAACAAAAAGAAAAACAAAAACAAAAACCTCGCTTTGGAATTTTTGTTGTTGGTTTTTAGAGACAAGGTCTCAGTATGTTATCTAGGCTGGTCTCAAACTCCTGAGAGTGGGTGACCCTCCTGCCTCAGCCTCCTTGGGTAGTGGGGACTGTAAGCATGTGCCACCATGTGCCCAGCTGCTTTGAAAGTAGCTTTCTTTGTACAGTTGAAGAAGCAGTTTACCAAGCACAGGAATGAGGAGAAAGGAGTATGAGATTAATATCTGCTTAATTTACCCAACCTACTTCCAAAAACATCGTGACAAGACACAAAGTTTACACATATAAAAGATAACAGCCATCAAATGCCAGAGGATACATGTCACAACTAGGGCTAAAATAACTATGAAAAATACTTTTATATTTTTCAAATATTTTTCCAGCTTTTCAAAAGACATTCATTTGTGCTTAAATTGAGATCCTTGATTCAGATTATAGCAATTTTATTTATTTATTTTTTTGAGACAGGGTCTCGTGGAACTAGCTATGTAGACCAGGTTGGCCTCAGTCTCACAGACACCCTCCTGATTCTGCTTCCAGAGTGCTGCTATTAAAAGCCACCACACCCAGTTATATAAATGGCAATTGTTAATCCCTATGAAAGTCATCCTCTCTCCACTCTATCATGTACACATTAATAAGGAAAATCAAAATCATCTTTTACCTGCTCCAATTCTGTTCCACAAAAAGTTACCATCGAATCCTCCTAAATAACCTAAAACAGGAAATTGAAATATGGAATATATTTGTAATATGGAAACAAGGTAGAAAATAAGACATGATTTTTGTCCTTGAGAAATTTCACTCCATAGGCCGGAAATGGCTGTTTCTCTTACTAATGAATCCTACCTCCTAAGGCTAGCAGCATGTGGCCAAATGGTGGTCCACTGTCATCCAGAAAGAAGATCCTCTTCATGTAAAAAGAAATGTACTGCCCATAATACACTTCATCAAAACTGGAAGAAACCAAAGACAAATACCACTATAGAAATCTTAATGTAAACAACAGGTGGGAGGGCAATTACGTGTTTCCAGTGTGTTTCCACTTCTGGGAGTGAACAAGTCAGATCCTCAGTCTGACTCTGTTCTGTTCCCAAATACTAACACATACGCATGTATAGCATCATCCAGCTCATAGGAACTCAGTGGTGACATTCACTAAACACAGCTGGCATTCACGGTGCCCGCCTCATACAGATCCTATTTCTCTCTCAAGCTCTCCCATGTATGTGGTATAAGGGGATATGTGTACACATGTTTACACACATGTGGGTGCACATGCATGTGTGTCTGTGGAGGCCTGAGGTTGACATCAGGTGTCTTCCTACATCACTCTCTACCTTAGCTATTGAGGTGCAGTTGCTCACTGAACCCAGAGCTTGCTATTTTAGTCTGGCTAGCCAGCTTCCTCCAGGGATTCCCTGTCTCAATCTGTAGTGAACTGCGATTACAGGTGGTCACAATGCCCACATGGCATCTAAGTGAGTGCTAGGGATTTGAACTTTTGTCCTCACATATGCATGCTTTACTCACTAAACCATCTCCCTAGCTTTTTTTTTTTGCTTTGCTTTTTTTTTTCTTTTTGAGACAGGGTCTCCCTATAGCCCCAGCTGGCCTGGGACTCACTTTGTAGACCAGGATGGCCTTGAACTCAGAGATCCGCCTGCCTCTGCCTCCCAAGTGCTGGAATTACAGGCGTGTGCCAACATGCCCAGCTCTCCCTAGCTTTTCATTTAGGTGTGTATGACTGCCAACTTGCTGAAGGACCTCATTGGGCTTGAGGTTAATCCTACCTCACACCCTCCCCAGCACATATCTAGTGGTGAATTGGAATTAGACCTAGTGACCCAATGAAAATGCTACAAGTGTGAAAGGAAGAAAAGTAGGAAGTGATCCCACTGAACGCTTTTCAGAACAAGAAGGCAATCTGATCACATCTAGAACTGCTGTCAGTTCTTAGGCATGAAAATGCTACTGCGGTTATGTGGTTTAAAAATAAATCCTCAGGCTGGGCGTGGTGGCACATGCCTTTAGTCCATAAATAAATAAATAAATAAAAATAAATAAATCCTCATCTTTCAGAGATATCTACCAAGTTATTCACAAATGAAATATAATGGCTAAGATTTGTTTCAAAGTAACTCACAGTGGAGAGGGGCTAGCTATGAGTGATTGCTCAAGCTGGGCAGTGAATGCCCTGGTGGAGAGATCACTATACTTTCTACTTGTGTATATATTTGACATTTCCTATAATAAAGAGAGAATCCCTGTGTTAATTCACTCATTTACAGAGCACCATTTCCCCTTATGAACAAAACCAGGCTTCCTTCCAAATCCATCAAACCTCTGCCCTTCAGTTATTTATTTATTTTTATTTTATTTATGTGAGTGTACTGCCTACATATAGGTAGGTGCATCCATGTCTTGCAGTGCCCTCTAAGGACAGATGCCCCCAGAGGACAGAAGAGGGCATCAGATCCCCTGGAACTGGAGTTACAGGCAGCTGTCAGTCACCATGTCGGTGCTGGGAACTGAACCCTGGTCCCCTGCAAGAGCAGTCTGAGCTCTTAACTACTGAGCCATCTCTCCATCTCCTGCCTTTCAGTTTTTAAAATGGAAAAAGCTAAGGCTGGAAATTAGAATGTCTTCTACTGTATCTGTTTAATAGGCCAAGTTTCCTTATTAGAGCTCTGTGGACAAAGACTGTAGAAAGCTCTGTAGAGAAAGGTATATACTACAGGGGCTGTCCTGGGGACAAACTGACAGCATGCACCATCAAGAAGCCCAGAATTTCTCTCCCTTTTGCACTTTTTAACAAGGTTTTTCGGATCACTCATCACATTGCTTCTTAGATCACATCCCCCAACCCCAGGGAGATGTTTGACTTACACCACAGCCCTAGGGTAGGTGAGTTGCCAGAGTCGGCTCAGTAGCCCCAAGCCAGTAAGAGCTACCAAATTCAAGTTGATATCAGCAGTCACCACGAGAGGGCGCCTCAAAAACCCCAACATCTTGTAGAAAAGCAGGCAGGTCAGGACATTCTGGAAAAGAGGGGACGAACTGGCATGAGTGAGTGTACAGCGGTCCTGAAGAGGTCGAAAGGGGGCTACGAGGATCCTGAAGCACCAGGTGGGCTGAGGACAGTTGGAAGGAGTCTCCTAGAGTACACTCGTTGGGAGGTCACTGCGTGTTTAACCCCAGGGTCCACGGAAGTCAGGACTCTTCGAACTGGACATTTGCTCACTTCCACAGTTCGTTGCACAAACACCTGCTGGGCATTTGCTAGGATCCAAGCTATGTCCTCTGATAGTGTGACCCCAGGCTACTCCGAGTATCGTAGGCCGCCACTGTAGCCCCCTGACCTGTATCTTCCCGAGCCCCTTCCCGCCCCTTCCCCAAGTGCACCAGCCCCCAGCTTTCCTGTCCTCTCCCCGGGGCATCCCTCTCCTCCTGAACGTGCCCGGAATCCCTTCTGTCTCCGCAGCTGCACCCGACCGGCGGCTCTTTTTCCTCCTTTGCTCGGCCAGGACCCGACCTAGCGCGCCCCAGACTCCTAAGTCCCAGCTGGGCTCTCGAATCTGACACCCCAAAACCTACTAGCGTTTTTTCGAGTTGGGCAGAGCCGCTCCCCAACTGGGGCCAAGCCGGCGAACCCCGGAGGAGGATGGACCGTTGGGCGGCGTAGGCGGCTCGAGTCTCGATTGGCCGTGTCTGGGCGGTCCGACATACACCGCGGCGCGCGTGCGCAGAGGGCCCCACAGGCTTGCAGAAGTGTGGCAGGTGGAGACTGTCCAGTCCCTGGCGTGCTCTATGAGGTCCGTGTACCCTCTGCACGCGTGTTATCATTTTTCAGAAGCGCAGCGAATCCTCTCCGTGCTCGGAGCTCTTCGTTCCGCGCTTCGCAGACACGGCCAGTCGAGCGTCGATCGGTGCATTCTCTGGTCTAGGGAAGTGCGTTGAAAGCCGCCGGTACTTCGCGGGCGGGCGCAGCCGCCTGGTCCTCGCTGTGGTTGCTGCCGGGCGGCTGGAAGCCTGCTCTGCTTTGCAGACTCGGAGCCTACGTCTGCAGGCCGCGCTTTCCCTTGGGACTGTGGGCGCTAGGAGCAGAGATCGCGCCACCCCCACCCCCATCGCTTTTCTCGTTGGAGGAAAGTCCGCATAAACAGGTTCTCCTGTGTGTGGGTACTTAAGCCAGAGGTCAACACTGGGTGTCATTCCTCAAGCAGCAACCTCTTTGGGTTTGAGAATAGGTCTCTCATTGATCTTCTGGAACTCACCCATTTGTCCAGACTGGCTGGCCAGTGAGTCCCAGGATCACTTGGGTTCTGGGGATCAAACGCAGGCCTTTCTGCTTAGCAGGCAAGCCCTTTACCGACTGAATTATTTCCCCAGCTCTCGAATCAGACTTCTTTTATAGTTTACCAAGATTAATTGGGGGGGGGGCGCTTTTTGAGTCTCCCTGTTAGCCCCAGCTGGCCTGGAACTTGACATGGAGACCTAGCTGGCCTTGAATGTTATATTCGCCTGCCTCTGCCTCTCAAGTGCTGGGATTAAAGGCCTGCACCACCACCCCTGGCCAAAATTATTTTGTTTTACAGATTAGCTCAGCATTGGGTGGCATCCATTAAGAATGCAGTGAACATTAGTTGTTTCTGGTTTAACCATGAGGGGGTTACTTGGTCTGTTCAAGTTCCTACAGAGAAAAAGAGCTGGGACTTTGGAGAGGGTTCTCTGGGCTCCAAAGCTAAGTATGTAAGTATGAGTATGTAAACTGTGATGGTACTTGAGGACAGCCTCCATCCTACAGGCAGGCACTTGGCCTCAGGAGGGCCAGGTCTTACCTGCAGGGGACTTGGGCTATTAGTGTGTCAAGAAAAGTTGACAGATACCAGTGCCCAGATCTCTGGCTATTCTGTAGGTCAGGAGTCTGTTGGGAGTTCTCATGAAAAGTGCTTACTTTTGGGGGCTTTTCTTAGTTGTAGGCTCTGTACTGTGTGCTGACCAGTGATCTCTCTGAATCCACACCACTCCACTTAGACAGCTCACATTTTACGAATAAGGACACTGACTAGGCAGAACCAAGTACAACTGCCTGATGCATCTAAATCCCTCTGACCTGCCCCTGCCAGGGACCTGACTTGTTCTGCAAAATAGAAAGTAGTCCTCTACTCCTGTAAAATCTAGCCCGCAGTAGTGTGGGGACTTCTGCACAGATGTGGGTTGGCTCACCAGGGAAAGGCATTTCTTGGTGTTGCACTTTTTTGCAGTCCCCCATGCAGCTCAGGCATTTCAGCCACCGTGGTAGTTTCTGGGAACTGTGAAACCCGAGATCCCTTCCCCTCTTTGGTGGCTGAGAAACAAAACTGACACACAATTGAGAAAGCATGTTCAGCTTTATTTTTTTTTTAATTTTTTTATTTAAATAAGGAGAGTTCTTTCGTATGGAAAGAGCTAGTACAATCACATATTTGAAAGGAGAAACAACAGGTACTGAACTGGAGGGAAGGGAGGGTGAGCGTCCAGCACGCCGGGTGAATCCACGATTCCATTTCCCATCCGAGGTAAGAGGTTTCCCAAATCACATCTAAACAAGCTGCACAGTACACCTTTAGCATCGTCCGCCCTTTCAAATATCTGGTCTACATGAAAAAGATAAAAGAGGAAAGGCCAAAACAAAAGAAGGAAACAGAAAACCCTCAAAAACAAAACAAAACCCCAAATCCTTTTTACTATGAAATCATGAGGTCGAACACTTAAGGACTCCTTTCAGCAACTGAAGAGCGCCATCACACAGAGCCTTCACAGGAATGGCCACTCCTGATTGTGACATGCCAAAGACAGGGGATGCTGCAGGTTTGAAGCAAGGAACCGAGGAACGCTAGGTGTCATGGGTCTGGAAGATCACCAGCTAGATGTGGCGGTAGACCCAGTGGAGAGCACAGCTGATGACAGTGCCCATCCCCAGCATTCCTGTCCAGATGACCTTTTTGTGTTAGGTCCATCTCACAGAGGAGAACTGTTTCTGAAGTCTCACTTCCTACTTAACAACAAACACAACCCAGCACACACTTTTGTGTCCTTGGTTGTAAAGATTTCCAGCAGACCCTCTAACCCAGGCTTGCTGCCAGAAGGGGGCAAAACAGATCTTGCAAGTCAACATGCAGGTACTTGGCAGAGGGGTACCCATCCAATGGATGACAGGGGAAGGGCTTAGCCAGAGCGGGCATGGGTTCTGACTTAAATCATCCACAGCTTCCGCACAGCTCCAAAAGACAGGAAGGCGATGCCATTATTAGCATGTTATCCTAGTACCTCCAGAGGCCGCTAAACGACCACTAGAAATGAACCACCTTCTCTGAATGTAATGAGGTCATCCTATGTTTCTCCCCTTAAAGAAACTAGACCCAGAAGTGTTCTGTGGATTCTAAGTTTGAAAGTTGTAACCATGGGAAAAAAACAGGGAAAGCAACTGTTAAGAAACCAGACTAAAGAGCTGGCAGCAGTTTCCAGTATGTTGGACACATCACCTGGCCAAGACTACTGAAGAGTCACTGGTTGCCAAGCAACGGGCTGTATCATCAATGGCCCCAGCAAAGCTGCCAGCATCAGGGGACTTCAGGCAGAAGTGAAGATCCTGCCCTACCTCCACCCACCTCTACCATAGAAAAGGCAGGTGCTAGGCTTCACCTGTTCAAGCCAAAGGCCACAGCATCTTGACAGAAGCTTCTATGTGTTGCCTATGATCTGAGGATGGGAGTTTGAAACCAAAATAAGACCCCAAGTCCTATTACCTTGAGCTTGGCTCTAAAACCACATGAGATATTGCACCTTAAAACATCTCTGCACTAAAAACTTGACTTTAATCAGACTGAAGGAGGGATGGGGACATCAGGAGGCCAGAGGCCTGCCCTCTGCTCTCAGAGTCTAATTTGAAATATGCATCTCAGGAGGGGAAGGGCCCACAGCTGAGGTTACAGAGGTGGTGTACGCACCAAACTTCACATGCAATTTCCTGGCCTTTCCTGCACAGAGTAATTCAAACATTATATATAAATAGAGCAGTGGAGCTTTTACTTTTTTTTTTTTTTTTTCACCTAGACCTACAACATCAATACATATAAATAAATTCTAGTGTTTTTTTGTTTTTATTTGGGGCAGGAGGAAGGAGGGAAGTACAGGGTGAGAGAAAGGACTGAGAACAGGTGACCTTCCCCCCCCCCCCCCAAATAGGAGGTACTGCCATTCTGGTGGCAGTTTCCCCTGAAGGGCACATCTTGTGTCTGTAACAACATCCAGGACTGGTCTGTGGAATTTTGAAATGAGAAAACATGTTTCTTTTGACAAGTATGTGCACCAGCATTGGGGCCTGGCCACATTTCTGAGGACAGGTAGAGACGACTGTGTGTGACTTCACTGACCCAGACTTATCAGGGTTAGAGCTTGGCAATGGGGGGGGGGCAGTGGACTCAATCATTGGGACAGTGACCAGACACAGGGGGTGTGGGACAGGAGATGAGGGACACAGCAGGCCCATGCCAGGGACTCTGAGTGGGCAGCTTTGAGAAGGGCTGATTCTGGAGTAGAGACAGGGTAGAGGACAGACAGCTGGTAAAGGTCAGAAGACAGAGGCAGGAAGGGGAGGCCTGGAGTGCTGCAGATGCTGTATAGCCTTTCCCTAGGACTGCCCTGTCCCCATAATGTAGGGGACAACGTGTGGCACTATCTGCCAGGGGAAGCTGACCCCCCACTTCTTTACACTAACAAGGCAGCAAGCAGCCACTTAAACATTCCCAAGATGCTTGTTCTATGGACTTTACACAAACAGCCTGACAGCCGTCATACTCAGTGACAGTGAGGGCAGACTGCAGACTTGCCCAGCCCTGCTAGGAACCACAAGCTCTCTGAGGCAGGTGGTCTCTGGCATCCCTAGGTGGGTGGTTAATTAGGGACCCCAAAGAGCATCTGAGCAATTTGAACTTCCCCTTTCACTTTCCTTGGAATGAAGGTGTCAGGAAGATTTCCTTCGTTATTAATTAAAGCAAGAAGCCCGGCATACAGCGGCTCACACAAACCTGCCAAGGGCAGTTTGAAGATACACCATTTTTTTAGGGAGGCTGTGCGGGCTGCCCAGAAGGCTTGATCCTGCCCAGCTGTGCAGGATTGGTAATGCAGCTGCTGCTCGGCACCCCAGGCCTCAGCAACCTGCTGAGGGAGGAACAGAAGATGACCATCCAGTAGCCTTTCCTGCGGACCTCATGCCTTTGTTTCAGGTCCAGCCAACAGGTGTCCATGCCCTTCCTTCTAGCACTGGTTTTGGTGATAAGCTGTGAGGGATGGAGGGACAGGGATCCAGAGGGACATGGCAGGCTCCACAAAGAGGAGGAAAGGAAATGAGAGGGACCACAACAGCCCTGAGGGTCAAACCATGGCGCCTCAGAAGCATGGTCCCCAAGTGGGGCCTGTGGCTCCAGCGACCTCAGCCAATCTGGAAAACAACAGTGACTGTAACTCCAAAATTCATTGCTGGTGCCCAGCACCCGGTGTCCACTGGCTTCTGAAGGGCCCTGGACACAGTTCTTATGCTAAAACATCAACTCCAGGTGAGGGCTGGAGCCAACCTACATGCTGTTTTCCTTACCTCACCACGCCCAAAGTGGCGAGGAGACACCAGAGCGCCGCCCATGGTCATGTCCTCGATACCCCAAAGGTTAACCACCTGTGTGTGTGTGGGTGCATTCTTAAGAATTGTGTCTTAAGGTGCACAGTGAAGTGTCAAACAGGACAGAGGTAAAAGGAGACCACTGGGGACAGCTGAGGGGCCAGAGAGGACAGCGAGAAACATATAAAAGTTCAGCTATACAGATGTAGCTAGCGTTGTCTTCCTTTCCCCTTTGTAAAAACCTTAGCTGCTTTTTAAAACAAAAAGCCTCCAGCTAAAATGACCCTGCTGCCAAGCCACTGTGCCGGGAAATGGGGCAGGTGGGCAGGTCTGCACTGCACAGAAGGCGACTCACTCCACAGTCACTGGGAAGGGGGACGGGAAGGAGGGAGTCTGCTCTTTTGTTTCAAAGCAAGCAGGTCAATGCCGTGTGTATCCACGGTGTGGGCTGACTGACGATGGAACTTTCAGGTGTGGAAGAAAGCCCTCTGACCAGGCCAGGTGGTTGGACGGTGGATCTGGTGAGGTCCCGGGCGGTGGCTGTCCAGGCTGGTGGTGGTGCACCGTCCCTGCTGGGGTGAGGCAAGGGTTACCAGGCACCTTCAGGCTTTACTCTCCTCCACCTTGACTGCCCGAGGCTTGATTGCTCCAGTTCGCTTCATCTGGGAGGAGGCTGAGGGGGGCTCCTGCAGCTTCACGGCTCCCAGGCTGGGTTTTTCATCCACTCGCTTTGCCTTTGGACAGACGGATGGGAAAAATGAAGTGACTCCAGGGCAGAAATGTGTTTAGAGATAGTTTTCCCACTACTCCCTTCCTGCTCTTAAGTCACAGGAAAAGCTACCCTTGGTTGAAGGACTGGGGAGGAACCAGATGGGCAGCCAGGACTGCCCTGTTCCCTCCCATGGGCACCGAGTGCAGTGATTCGGAGAGGCAGGAAGGCTCCGGGACCTCCACAGAGACAGAACTCAGTGATGGCACATCCTGGGTGAAGCAGGTCAGATCCCAAGGCTGACGGGAAGAACCTTTTCAAATCAGTGCACCCTGTGCCCCACAGCAGACCAATCCATCCCATAAGCCTGGGATCCCACCTATCTGTAGAGGGGTTGCTGGGCCAGCTTGTCTCTCTCAGATCTTGTGATTCAGTCAAGATCCATCCCAAGTCCCACTGTGCAATGTCTTTCCCTGGGATCCCTGTTTGGCCTCAAGCTTGCCAGTCAGGGTTCCGCTAGCCTGCAGCTCCGCAGAGTAGAGGGTGTGTGAGGTGACCAGTGCGATCTTGCCACGTACTCAATCTAAATTCTGGGAGAAAGTTCGGTAGGGTAGCTTTGCTTGCTTTTTTGCAGTGCTGAGGATGGAACCCAGGGCCTCAAGCATGCTAGGCAAGTGCTCTACCACTGAGCTATGCCCTCAGCCCTGGGAGAAAGGTTTAGAAGTTCATCCTACAGCATTCAAGTGGTGACCCCCCAGGGGACACTGGGAAGGAGGGATGAGATGAGAGCCCCAGCCCAGCTTTAGAGGAGAAAGGGAACAGGGCCTGCAGGAAAAGATTCTGAGAAATCCTCATTATAAAATGGGGAAGCTTCATCTTGTCTTTTACCCCACCCAGGCAGACAAAGATACGCCACATCACTCACTACAGCTAGCACGTGCATACACCCCAGCCTCAGCTAACCCAGGCCTAATCAAGTCTCCCAGAGCGCCATGACAGCCCCAAATGGCTGGGGATAGTGCGTCTTCTGACGTCACCACCTGTGGGAACCAGTATCCTTCTTCGTCTGCAGGATAAGGATAAGGAAGATTCCAGATACTCAAAGAGAAGGGCTTTTGCCAGGAGGGACTGGGGTGGCCCGGCTCTAAGCATCAGGGCATATTTCTCTTAATAAAGAACATCCATCAGTTGGACAGTCCCCTCTCCTTTGGCGCTGGGAGACAGGCCTAAGTGTCCAGGGCTGCAGGGTCTGGAAAGCCATCTTCTACCTGTTGAACGTAGTGTCCCTGCACAGAGCCCATGTTAACTGCTGATCCAGAGGGCTTCCCACTGGGGCTAGCAGAGCTAGGCCTGAAAAAACCAAAGGCAGGGTTGAGAATACACATGTTGTCACCACAGAGATGGAGTCAAAGCCTAGCACACGAAGGAGGCACGAGCCAGGGAGGGCCCTCTGGCCAGAGGCGATTAGACAGAAATCACAGACCTGAGACAGCCGAGAAAGCAGAAGGGGAGAGGGAGGGTGATCACAAATGCCTCCTGGGCACTCAGAGGAGACATACCCAGGAAAGCAGCTGGGGCCTCTGCTGCAGATTGATGGGGCCATCCCTGGGGTATGGAGTCTCTGGACCCCCAGATGTAGTGCCCAGATAAAAGGCCTGCAACCTGACACTAAGCAGGAATTGCAGAGAAGGTTTTTTGGGTCCATAGCTGTGTTCAGTCCCCAGGGCCATTAAGCGTTCCACGACAAGAGTTCTATGTCAGAAAGAGTGCTGGGGAAGAGATCATTAGGCCTTTCAGGAATGGGGCTGCTTAGCGGTGGGCACTACCATCCTTCCCACACAGCATCTCAGAGCAGCACACCCCTGGAATTTCCGACTAAAGACTCATTTTCGCAGGGTATGTCTCACTTGCCCCATTTCCAGAAAACCTTGGGAAACATTCTATAAAAAAGTTAATGTTCTCACACACCTTGAAGGCTATGCCACCTACATAGTGGTCCCTCCAACTCTTCAGGGATTGGTTGCAACTATCTCTAGATTGCTTATAAGCACTAGTAGATAGCAGCTACCCTGTAGGAATAATGATGAGAAAAAAAAAAAGGTTGTTCCCTCCTCACCTCCAAATATTTTCAGTTAGTGGATAGAGGGCCAACACTTCTCCCAAGAACAAAGCTGCTTCCCTGCCCACAACTAACTGCGCCCAGGCTACTGCCGTCACTACTGCCTGGGCGGGCAGAACTATGGCCTGTGTTTCCTCTTCAAGCTTCCTCCTTCTCTCCACGCCCCGCTCACTGTGCTGCACTGCCCTCTCCACAGCTCTGCTGAATCGGTCTACCGGCAGGTGATGGTAGAAAAGGAAAACATACCAACGCACAAACGAAAAATAAGCCACAACACTAACGGAAAGATGGACGGGAAACTGTGAATCCCTTCTATGAGTGTGAGGCACGTGATGGAATAAAGGCCCAGCCCAGCACACCAGAGTGCCAGGGAAAATGGCCATGGTAAAAGTGGGACACAGGCGGTAGGGCTCAACCTGGAGCGTGCTGCTGGGTACCTTCGAGAAAGGTGCTGCAGATGTGTCTGTTCCACTCGTGTGTAAACACAAGGAACCACACCATCTGTACATGCCCCAAAACTCAGGGCCACAGCTGCCTTCCTAACCCAGCATAGGGGACCAAGAGTCTCTGCCATGAACCAACAGAAATGTCTAAATAGAGCAGAAGGGGACTTGGACAGTTACCAGAAGTAGAGATCTATACCAAGGAAGCAAACAGTGGGTGCCAATTTGTGGTATGGAAAGAAAGTGTCCCCCAGTAGTAAAAAGTTCCCTGCTAGGGATCAAAGGGTGACTTCATGTGTAAAATAGCCTGGGTGGGGCTGTTCCTAATTTCCAGAAAGCTCTCCCAATCCCCAGAGCATCTTATCCTGAGGATTAGGTTCTAGAGATTGACTGCCAGGGTTAACTAAAGCACAAGTGTGCCCCAGGGACTCCTCAGCTACACTCAGGTGTACAAGGTGGGCCAGGTCTTGATACCCTTCCACTGTTCTGTCCTTGGAGTGACATATCGAATATTCAGCCATGAGCCCCAATCCCTAGGGCCCATCTTTACCTGTAGGCCTGTGGGGATGGTGCGGAGCCTCCGGTAGGAACATTCTGTTTACTGTCGGCAAAGTGGAAGCCTTTCAGCTCCATCTGAGAGGACTAGAGAGGTCGAGAAGCAACACGCTGTCAACTCAGCAGCGGAGAGACAGCCTGGCCTTCAGTGAGCCCCTCCCTTCCCAACCAGGCTCAAGAGAGGACTTTTTCTAGGAGCAGAAACCATCCGATGTTTATTTTCTTAGACTGTCTGACTCCCTAGCCAAGGCTGTCCTCAAACTCCCAGTCATCTTCCCTGCATCTCCTGAGTACTAAGATTACACACGTGAGCCACAACACTTGCTTTGTAAGCAGGACAGGAGAGGTAACTGCACAACCACAGAGAACTGATTGCACTGTGTACAAGTGATTACCCCGGTGTTGGCCACATCTGACCCCTTGGGACCTGGTAAAGAGTGCACATTCCTGCCTTTGGCCCAGGCCCTACGTGGAGTCTGGGGCCCTATGTAAGAGTCTGTCGGCATGTGGTCCTCCGTTTGGCTGAGGCACTGGCTGCACACCTTCCTTGCCTGGCAATCTTGCATGTGCCAAAGCTTGCCCTGTGATTTGCTTAACATATAAGCAAGGAGTCCCTGACACCTGGGGTTCTAAGGACTTTGCAGTGTGGGAATCTGTACTTTTGTGTGTGTGTGTTTTTGAGACAGGGTCTCCCTGTAGCCCCAGCTGGCCTGGAACTCACTATGTAGACCAGGCTGGCCTTGAACTCACAGAGATCCGTCTGCTTCTGCCTCCTGAATGCTGAGATTAAAGGTGTGTGCCACTACACCTGGCTTGAAATCTGTTCTTTTTCATGACAGTAGTTCTACAGTACAAGGTTTGGCTAGACAAAGCCTCTCTCTGGGACCACCTTTACCTCTCTGCTGGTATTCAGGACTGGTGGTTGGGAGCCAGGTGGAGGAATCCTTCGAGGGGCCCCAACAGAGAGGCTCTGTCCCGGCGGCAGCTGAATGGACTGTGGCAGGATCAGTGGCTGCTGCCCAGAGCTGTACCGAGGCAGCGGCATGGTGAGCTGCTGGGCGACAGGACAGTCAGAAGGTGGAATGGACTGAGGAGAAAGCTAAAGCATGCACCTAGGAGCACACAAGCGCTCATGCGTGGTCTCCGGCTGTCTGTCCTCAGCCTCGGAAACTTCATCCAACAAATACAGAGCATTAGGGAAGCCATGAGGCATCATCAGACACAACCAGGGGCAGGAACAGGCCTTCATCCAACAAATACAGAGCATTAGGGAAGCCATGAGTGGTCTGTCTGTCCTCAGCCCTGAACCTTCACCCAACAAATACAAGGCATTAGGGAAGCCATGAGGCATCATCAGACACAACCAGGGGCAGGAACAGGACTCTATGGAACATGCTATACACAACCGCATGCTACTCAGAGTGAAGGTTGGGGTGGGATCAAGAAGACAGCAGAGAACTCCCCAAAGATGAAAACCGCACAGGAACTGTATCTTTATAAATTCCCTTTTCGTGGCACAAAACCATGAAACATACTTCTCTGCATTAATGGTGGCAGAAAAAGACTGAGTTGGAGCCTAAGCCATCCTTGGGGGCAGTGATCCTGTGGGCAGGATAGCGGGGTACAAAGGGCCCAAGTGACCATGTCGCCAATCCAGGGCAAAGGGTGAGTGCAGGTAGCAAGGGGGCAGGGCTGGGCCACTTTGGTCTCTCAGTCACTCTCCTCTTCATCTCCCTGCTATTGAGTCCACAGTGGAGGGTCAGAAGGATCTATTGGAACCACATCACTGAGACTTGTGGCACCAGGGCTCAGAGCACCATGTTCCTGCTCAGAGCGCAGGAGGGGAAACAGGAAAGCCAGTAGAGAGTGGCTTTGCTTGGTGGGGTGGTCTGGCTGGCATTGGTCCAGGACAGCCCTGGCTGCTATGCTAAGCACAGCAGGCTGGAAAGGCCCAAGGGCAAAAGCGGGGCAAAGAGCAAGAAGACCCTGCAGAGGTGGCACAGCACAGGGTGGGGGTGAGGAATGGCAGGACACCAAGGCCATTCTAAAGGTAGGCGATGAGTTGGAGGGGAGGAAGGATGGTGTAGACTGGATGAGCAAGCTGGGAGGAAAATCCTGTTCTGAGTCAGCAAGCTGGAGATGCCAGAAGTCAGAAAGACAGAGCTGCTGGGCAGCTGCTGGGGTACCTAGGCTGAAGAAATTAATCTGGGAGTGAGCAGCACATGGATGCTGGATGACCAAAAAGGAGACCAAAGACAGGAATCAAGGGGACATCCATTATTGGGGGCAGGGGGAGGGGCTTGAGGACACAGAAGGAAAGCCAGAAGGAATGTCTAAAGGGTCAGGAGTGACCACTGGGTGATGCCCTGATAGGGTGACTGGGGATATAGTCCAAAGAGGCCTGAGTCTGCCTCTATACTAATAGGTAAGAGAAGGGGACTTGCCAGGGTGACCCTGAGCAGGAAGAGAGACCTTCCTAGGGGCAGGATGAAGCTTACAGAGGCAAGGAGATGTGGCCATGGGTCCAGTGGACCATCACTATCTGCTTCCTTGGTGACAGGAAGCAAAGCAACAGTGGAGTGGGAGGCAAGGAGGGGAAGCAGCAAGTCTGAACCAGCTGAGGGAGTGGAATGGCTCCAGGGGCCTGCTCCTCGGGAGGAAGCAAGTGACACCACAGTGTTGAAAGGAAGACAGGTTCCAAGAACAGCAGGCCTGACGTCCTTGGAGATGGGCCACCGAAGGCAGTCGACAGAAAGCCTAGAACTCAGGAGGCAGGGGCAGGCAGATCTCTGTGAGTCCAAGGCCAGCCTGGTCTACATAGTGAGTTCCAGGCCAGCTGGGGCTACAGGGAGACCCTGTCTCAAAAAGACAGGAAAAAAAAAAAGGGAAACACAGGTGGTAACAGCATGAACCTTCACTTGGAGTTAAGGATGAGAATTCTGATGGAGTGAGACTGCAAGCCAGCGGTTCAACGGAAGGAATGGCCTTCCCGGCTGTCAGGCACAGCCCATGGTTGATGAGTGAAAGACCGTGCAAGGTAAGTTCCAGTGTACGGATGCCTAGGGTAGGCCAAAGCCTGGGGACTTGGAGAGGAGAGGGAGGAGCAAAGAGGGTACCTGCCCCCATTTCCATGCCTACAGCCCTAGGGAAGACACAGCCTCCATTTGGGGGTTGTAGACATCTATAGAAAAGAGCTCTTCAGGGGGAGGTAAAGCCAGTCCTTAGAATAGAGCAGTGACAGTACTACAAGAAGTCCTAGAAGCTGAGCTATACATGCAAACAGCATATGACAGGAAGGTAGAAGGCCTGGAGAGACTCAACTGACCTGTGGGAGCTGGGAATCCAGCATCTGGGAGGCACCCAGTCCGGCAGCCTGGCTGAGCTGGCCTTCGTAGACCAGGGCCTGATTTCCACTCATGGGCTGGTAGGGTGAGCCAGACTGTGGCTTTACCATCTCCAAGGGCTGTATGCCTGGGAACGCCGAGTACGGGGGCTTCAAGGCTGTGCCCCCAGAGAGGATCATGGTGCTGGGCGGTGACAGGCTGGGGTGCATGTACACCTGAGACCTGCAAAAACCAGACAGAAGTCAGGATCTGGTGGATAAGCATGAGGACCCCAAGGGCAGATCCCTGCTCCCCCAGAGAATCATTTGGAGAGTCTGCATGGGGCTGATCTGGAAACCATGGTGTGAACATCATGGGTTAAATGGACACACCCAGGCTGTGCCAGGCCCAGGAAGACCTAATGATGCCCAAGGCTGAAGATACCATGTGCACTGATGGAACAAGCTGTGAGGAATAGGAGGAGGAACATGACTTGGCATAGGGAGCACAGGACCACCCGCACCCAGAGATCTGGGAGGGACTAGGGAGGGATGGAGAGCATCTGACGCCCTGTTCATGGCCTCTGAGCATGAGTACATGCGATTGCACAGCAGAACAGCAGGGGGCTCTTGAAACCTAGGGTCTGAGCTCACCTGAAAGGCTGCAGGGAGCTGAAGATCTCCTGGGACTGGGAGACAGGGAGCCCGCCCCTTAGTCCAAGCTGAGCCTGGGCCTGCAGAGATGTGTGGAGGGAGATCGGGATCTGCTGGGCAGTGGCAGCCTATGAACAAGAGCCAGATGATGACTGTGTTGCTCCCAAGGTTCCTCCCCACCTCCACTTAGTCCTGGCCCTGGTCTGTGAGGACATATTCTAGCACATCCAACCTGGCTTTCCACAGCAGAAACTGGGTAGCAAGCCCAAGGCATGGTGTAACCATAACAATGGAATGCTGCACAGCAGTGGGCATGAGTCCTAGCCACACACATCAATGGAAGTGAACTCTGAGTAAAAAGACACATGCAAGACACGTGTGGTGGCTCGCACTTGTAATCTCGACACTTGAGAGGTTGAAGCTAGAGGACTGCTGCAAGTTCCAGGTCAACCAGGGCTATATTGTGAGTTCCAGGCCAGCCTGGACCACAGAGTCAGACTCTGTCTCAAAAACAAAAAAGATACTACGATCCATTTCCATGGATCAGGACCTAAGAAAACTAAGCGTAAAAGGAACATAGTTTAAGACATGAGGACAGGCCCCCATCCTCTGTCCCGACTACAGATCTGCACTGAGAACAGATGCCGCTAGGGCTGTGCAGGCACTCGAGGCCGGGCCGTGTGGAAAGCCAGGCACTAACTTTGGGAAGGAGGCTCTAAAACATGCTGGCCTGCAGCAGACAGTATACCAATCTTGTGCAAAACCAACACTGCTTCTTTCTAATGCATCCGTGCCCAGGGACTCAGGGCCTCGTCTCTTTATCAGGACCTCTATTAGTCAAGTAACACCGCTGCAGCTGATGTCCAGCTAGGACAAGAAGGGATTCCTAGAAGGCAGTAACAAAGTCTGGAGTGTCTACGCCACGCCTCCTCATCCCTGGCAGATTTTTTCTACAAATACTCTCCAGCTGCCAGGCATCATGCCTTAGAGAGATGGAACAAGACCAGCAGCAAAGACCTGGAGAGGGTGACTGCACCTGTTGGCACTGCCTGCTGGCCACCTGGCTTGCTACTCTCACCTGCTGGTAACTCTGCTGCTGAGGTATCGTTTGAGGAACCAGTCGGGGTTGACTCGCAAACACATGGCCGTCCAGATACAGAGGTGGGAGGTGGTTGCCTGGAAACAGAATCCAGAGAAAGTAGAAAAGGATCAAGTCTCACTGTTGCACACAGCCAGGTTTCCCAGGGGGACTCGGTAGGGCTGAGGACACAGGTGAGCAGAGGCTGCTTGGTTCTCTGCTGCAGCACACAGGAAACCCAGGCAGGCCCAAGAGTGGGCAGTGGCCTGGCTTTCCCACTTAACCACTCACCAGCTGCCTCTGGCCCTCGGGAGGTCTATTTACTAAGGCCGAGAGCTGCCTTGGTCTCTCAGTCACTGTCCTCTTCATCTCCCTGCTATTGAGTCCACAGTGGAGGGTCAGAAGGATCTATTGGAACTACATCACTGAGACGTTGGCAGCTGGGCCCTCAAAATCCCCATTGTACTCCCTGGGAGCACAACAAGCAACAGCATCATAACAGTAAGGATAAGAAAGCTGCCAGTGACGGAAGGCTCAACTGACACCAAGCACCTTCCAAGTAAGCCCTTGCTTCATGGTGCAGCCACCCCATGGCACAGTATCATCAGCCTGCTTTACAGAGGAGTCTGACTCAAAGCCACGTCCTTGCTTAAAACTCCTCTCTGGCCAGTCCAAGAGCCTTCCCTTGGCCCCAAAGATCCTGCTTCCCACAACAGAAGAACAAGAATCACACACTGGCCTCAGCACATGGGAAGCTGTGACTACCTGGCCTGGAAAAAAGAGTGACCCTTCTGGCGCTCCGTAAGTAAAAGTACAGAAGTGGTGCTCAGGGCTGTTCATCCAGCACTTCTCTTGGTAGTGAATGGAGAAGGCTCCCGAGCCTGGCTCAGGGGACGTGGTACCTGGCATGGAAGCAGAAGGTGCTACAGAAGCCACAGGCATGGGCGGCATGGACACTCCACCAAAGGAGCTGTAGTTGACCCCGTTGGAGGCGCCCACAGAGGATGGAGGCTGGATGCCCGAGCCTGCACCTCCTGGAGAGCTCTGCTCCGGCAAACTGGGGGAGTTTTCCCAAGCCTTGCGTGCAGACTCCATCTTTGGAAGCAAGAGGAGGGGAGGGATGCAAATTACTACCAGGGACAGCAGGGGACAGCAGTAATCTAAGCCATGGGGCACAAGGGGCTCCCCCTCCACCTCTTTACAAGCTGAGGTGCTGCTGAGGGCCCTAGCCCAGCTCAAGGCTGGTGTTACCTTCAGCGTGAGGTCTGCAGTAGGGAAGGACATGGGAGAGAGGCCAATGGCTCTCTGGATGTGGTGGTCCCGCCGGAGGATGGGAATACTCTGCGTCAGCCCTGCCTGGAGAGGGGAGAAAGAAAGTCATGGAGGAAGAGCTGGAAGGCATGTGGCAGCAGCTCATCCAAACACGTCTTCCAGTTCCGCCATGTGTACTCTATAGCCAGGACTCATCTCCCTGAGCTAGCTACCTAGACCAATTTCCTTGAGAGATGCCATCTCCACACCCATACTCCACAGAGCCCCCGCCACAGTCACATCCCAACAGCAAAAACCATGGTCTAGCTGCCATGAGGGAAGCACCTGGGCGAGGAGACATCGCCACCTGGCTTGCAGACAGCCAGGTCCAAAAAAGCGGTAGCTGTCACTTCAGCCCCTTGGGAAACTGGAAAAGTGGTCCCACCTAACACAGGTGGGAAATGCAATGACCAGAATCCCTCAGGCCCTGGGGTTATCGGTCAGTGAGAACATCTGAGACTTGTCAAAGTGAGGAACCCTGACTAACACAACATTTCAAACACATTGGACCTCAGTGGCCTTTACTCAATGCCTGGCAACATTCAGTAGCACTAAGGCTCTTCCAAACCTCCTGGGAATGCTGCCTCACTGTCCTCCCTCCGTCAACAGACCTACAGAGGACAGAGTAGTGAGCAGAGATGCTGGCTGTTCCCTGGAGCAGCTCGTAAGGGCACAGAGCCCAGTGGGCCACAGCATTCAGGCATACTATGGGACCTGCCAGAGTGTGTGTGTAGGGGCTGGGGTGGGGGTGTCCAGGCCTGTTTAACCACTATCTCCTACTGGCCATGAAAGAACAGTCTGGGTTAGGAATGTGGTAGAGTGCTTGCCTATCATACACAAGGCCCTGGGCTCTGTCCCCAGCACCAAGGCAGACAGGATTTAAAGAAAGCTGAATAACCAGATCCTAAGAGTGACATCAGTTCCACCCAAAGGTCACAAAACCAGGTATGGCTAGAGACACCTGTGCTGTCTAGCAGTTTGCTAGGGCCTGCCGGAGCGGGTGGAAAAACAGGGCTGGAGAAGGAAGCAAAGACTTACATTACTAGCCAAGGCATCCCGACACCTGTGCTGTCTAGCAGTTTGCTAGGGCCTGCCGGAGCGGGTGGACAAACAGGGCTGGAGAAGGAAGCAAAGACTTACATTACTAGCCAAGGCATCCTGCAGCTTGACAACTGGATTCCCTACAGGACCAGAAGCAGAACCAGGTGGCAGGCTGAAATCAGAGTCCTGGAAGAGAAGTGTCACAGTGTCTGAGCCCTGCTCGGCTCACCCTTCCCCAGGCCCACATCAACGACACTGTCTCCTCAGCAACTTAAAAATCCACTATGCAACATTCACCGGAGCCACACAAGAGGGAGATGACCACACACAAGAAGAGAAGCCACCTGGCGCCTCTCCCTACTCACTGGCTGGCCTCAGAGCCCAGCTGGTGCCAGAAAGGCCATCTGTAAGGCAATCCAATAACACCTGCCCATCCATCCCTGACTCTGCACCAACACTAACCCCAGAATCATGCTCATGCTCAGCTCCTAGCTTCCTTGGGGACAACCCTGAGCCCCCACCTGTCCAAGTTTTTAAAAAAAAAAAAGAAAAAAAGAATCAAAGCAAAGCTCACTTTTGGATTGACTCCAAACTCAATGGGCGGCACAGGGAGCACGGAGTCCACGTGAATCTCCACCCCGTTAACAGGCGGGACGACGGCCCCTTGCAGCCGCTCGGCCCCCTCCGAGCCCTTTCTGTTTTTCAGAGACCGCTCATTGCCGATGGGTCCTGGTCTGTGCTCCTTGCTCTGTCCTGAGCCTTGTTCTGAGTCCTTGGTGGGAAAGCACAGAGGCTGAGACACGTGATCTCTAGCTTCCACATGCCCCTGGCCTTAGGGAAGACAAGACAACAGCCCCTTCCGCCCAGGCCCTGGACACCATGAAGGGGACTTCCAGGTTACCTTTTGCTCAGACTGCTTCTGAGCCTGTTCCTTGTGGCTGTCGGCCTTGGGTTCCGCCAGGCCGGGCCCGCTCATCTCCTCTGGCTTCAGAGTGCCATATGGGGAGCTGCGCTGCGAGGAGGTCGCGGACGACTCCCGAGACTCGGCACTCAAGTCAACGCCACTATCTCCCTGGCTGCTCTTAAAACCCTGCTGTGCAGAGCACAAAATGGGTTAGAGCCTTGTCCCCGAACTGCAAAGCACAAGCATCCAGGAGGCAAGCCCGTGTGCAGCACTGGCACTCCTCTCCAACCGCCAGCCTCCGAAGTCCAGTCCTGATCTTGGTCCTGACCTGCCGACGGTGCCCCATGGCACATACCCAGCTGAATCAATGCACCAATCCTGCCCAAGCTCATGACCACCAGACACTGTATGGCCCTAACACAAGGCTGCCAACTCATTTCACCCAAAGCAGACAGACAGGTGCCAGCCAAGACCAGCTCAAGGGTGACCCTCAATCCAGCTCCCTACCCCGTGGTCTCTCCCCTGTTAGGCCTTGTCTCTCTGCTCATGCAGGCACCACACACAGATCAGAGACCGAGGCTGAAGATGACGACAAGCCAGGGCCTGGAAGGGCCCACACCACAGCACCAGGACACGTTAGTGACGGCAGTACTCACCTCTGAGGTGCCAGGCTCGGTGCTGCTGAAGGCGGTAACGGCTTTCCGCCATGAGTCGCTGGCTGCGCCCTGCACAGGAAGGGCTGCCAAGGAAGGGATACAGAGAGTCAGGGCATGTAACAGGGACTAGCTGTGACAAGCCAGGGCCTGGAAGGGCCCACACCACAGCACCAGGACACGTTAGCGACGGCAGTACTCACCTCTGAGGCGCCAGGCTCGGTGCTGCTGAAGGCGGTAACGGCTTTCCGCCATGAGTCGCTGGCTGCGCCCTGCACAGGAAGGGCTGCCAAGGAAGGGATACAGAGAGTCAGGGCATGTAACAGGGACTAGCTGTCCGGGAAGACATAAGCTTGTGAGTCCCTTTCCGCTAGAGTAGAATACCGACTGATAAAACAAGCTCACAGAAACCTACTCCCCTAAATGTTCTGTACACTCCACCGTTGACAAAGCTTTGTGAATGGATGTGACACACCAGAGCTGGTGTGAGAGCTCCCTCAATGCCCAGCATCTTCAGATTACAAACAACCTTGGAAGCTCATGTCGTGCTTCTCACTACTTTCACTGTCCATTACTACTTTACTATGTTGAAGCGCTTTCACACAAGCCAACTAAAAGTAAAAGCAGTCTCTCTCTCTCTCTTCCCTCCTTCCCTCCCTCCCTCCTTCCCTCCCTCCCCCCCTCTCTCTCTTGTCTCCCTGTAGCCCCAGTTGGCCTGAAACTCTCTATGTAGACCAGGCTGGCCTTGAACTCAAGAGTTCTGCCTCTGCCTCTCAAGTGCTGGGATTGAAGGTATGCGCCCATCATACCTAGCATGAGTAAAGGTTTAAGTTGTTGAAAGGTTTAAGTAGATACAGGAACCACTAGAAACCAATAAAACCCACAGACCCTGAACCCAGAAAACATGTATATGTAGAAAGTGTTACATGATCAGGTGTGGTGGTGCATGCCTTTAATCCCAACACTTGGAAGGCAGAGGCAGGTGGGTCTCTGAGTTCAAGGCTAGACTGGTCTACATAGTGAGTTCCAGGACAGTCAGGGCTACATAGTGAGACTGTCTGAAGCCGTATGTGGGGCTCTGGTCTGGTCTGACCAACCAACAGGACAAAGCAGCACCCCAGAAGACCCGACAGAAAGACTGCTCCTCAGGTGGGCACTTGCTGCCAAGCTGACTTGGCCCTGGGTGTTTCCGGACATTTACGCTCTGATGCCCGTATCTCCTTTCCTTTGTATCTTTCTTCCCTCCTCCCTCCCTCCCATCTTTTTTTTTCTTTCTTCCATGATAAAACCAAAGCTCCACTGCTGAGCTATGTCCCCAGCCTGTCATACTTCCTTCAACTGGAGTAGAACATCGCCTAGTGTTATTTTGTAACATATAATTAAGGTTTTCCCAGGACTATGAGGATGGGTGAGGACTTAAAGCAGCCAGGAACCCAGCACTGCGGGTACCTGTCCGGTAGCCTGGGTCTGTCACCTCCCTTAAGCTTCTGTTCTGCATAAAAATGAGCCGAAATTGGGGCTGGAGAGATGACTTAGCGGTTAAGAACACTGGTTGTTCTTGCAGAAGACCTGGGTTCGAATCCCAGCACCCACATGGCGGCTAACAACTGTCTGTAACTCCAGTTCCAGGGGATCCAATGGTGTCTTCTGTCCTCCGCGGGCATTGCACAACACGGGTACACTTACATATATGCAGGCAATACACGCATACACATAAAAATAATAAATAAAATATTTTTTAAAAAAGAACTGAAATCACAGGGGCTTTCCTAGTTCCCCGAAAGCTGTAGAAAATCCTGTTCTATTCAACTGTGCACTCTCAGGGATCACCACACAGGCTGCACCCAAAGGTGCTCAAAAACAACCTGCTCAACCAAAATGGCTACAGAAGCCAGGGGGAAAAAAAAAAAAAAAAAAAAAATGCTGGGCTGGAGAGACGGCTCAGCTGTAACAGTGCTGTCTGCTCTTACAAAGGACGTGGGTTTGGTTCCCAGCACCCACATTGAGGCAAATCAGGGGATCCAATGCCCTCTTCTGGCCTCCATGGGTTTGCAACCATGTGATGCACTTACATACATGCAGGCAAAACACTAATTCACACTAAAAAAAAAAAAAAAAAAACCAAAACAACATAAAACTTTAGGGAAACAAATTTTCCAAGAAGGAAGGTATACTGTACTCTGGTCCGAACTTTGCCCTTTCATGAGAAAGCATCTAGGGAGTGCACAGGAGGGAGAAACTCTGTTGGCTGGAAAGAGGATGCAGGGCATGGACAAAGAAACTCGGTCTCCCTTCGAATGCCCTCAGCTCAGGGGAGGTCCTCTCCCAGGGCGCTGGACGTACAGATACTCTGCTAGTCTACTATGTCGGAGCAAGAGAAGTATTTCCCACCATGGGCTGTAGCAGCAAGTCAGCTCAAGTGGCACTCAACACTGACTCACTGCTGGGGTCCAAGGAATAGGTGATGATCCATTTGTGCCCCTGGCTTAAAGGCAGGGCTCCCCAGAAAGAGCCCAACTCTGCTGAGCCAGGCACCCACCTCACCTTGGCTACCACTCTCCCAGATCTCGGTACCCAGGCTGCTGCCAGGCACAGCCACTTCACCTTGCTCCAGGCACAGGCTGTTTTGCTTTTTAGCAAACCGAGGAGGAATACGTGACGAAAGGCCTCGACCTTTAACAGGCACCTACAGGGAAAAAGAGGGTGATACAGTCTAGCCTAAGATATGACACACAACAAAGTCTCCCAGGAAAAGGCATCTTGGATCACACGACCACCTGAACTAAGTTGAGGTACCTCAAAACCTTAGCTGCAAAGTACACTGCCAGGCTAACCAGGAACAGGCCAACTTAGCACTGGGCTCCTGACAACCCCACATACTTGTAGGAACATGCAATCTCCCACACAGTCTGGAGCATGGCAGGAGGAGAAGGACTGGGGGCTGAGGCAGGTCTAAAACCTGCTCTGCCTCATTTTGACAGCTAGATCTTGGGAGAGATCAGCCTCTTTGTGATCCAGTCTCTTCCTGTCTTTTGCAGGGCTGTACAGGCAGATGGCAAGTGCTGTGAGATAATGCATGCCTAAAAAAAATCTCCCCCACCCCCTTTTGCCCAGGGCTCTCCTCTGGCCCGTGTGAGTTACCTGGGCAGCTTGCTCCTTCTTTCTTCTTTCCTCCTCCAGCAGGCGGCGCTGCTTCTTGGTCAGGACTTCAATGAAGCCTTCGCCCACCATGGAGCCAACCTCACTCTCCTCCCCAGGGCTGGACCCGCAGTTGTCAATGATGGTATCTGAACAAAGAGGTCACAAGAACCAACAGTTTCCACTGGTCTGAAGGCAAGAGCCACCCAACAGCCACCTGGTACCTAACAGAGGCTTGGCTCAGGTCAGGCAGCACTGAGATGAGCAACTACCAGGGAGCCCACTTGCCAGATCCATAGGACCATTCATCCCTCTCATGCCCAAGTCACACCATGATAAAGAAAGCTGCCTTTGAAGATGGGAGATTTAGAAACCCAGTTCTGTTCCTACCAGGTAAGAGCCCTGCAGTGCCTCAAGTCACCCCTTGAACTCTGGGAAGCTGTAGGACTGTCACAGGGGCTCAGCTGAGAACATCATAAGACAGGAATTGGAGCTGTTTTGCACCCGACTGCCGCCCCAGAGCCCAGCCCTAGACTCAGAATAGGCCTTGGCATGCAAGGGCAAACAGAGCCTCCCATGGAGGTGGCCATGGCTTAGGGTCCTCATGGGTTTCTCCTGAAGATGTGGAGACTCACTTCCGTAGCCCAGGTCAAACTGCTTCCGAGCCTCTTCCTGCTCACCAGCCCTCTGGACGGCCAAGGTTGCCTCCTTCTCTGCCTTCTTGCTGGTGGTTTCAGGGCTGTCAGAGCTAGCATGGGCAGCACGCTCCAGGGCATAGGGCGAGTGGTTTCCACTGCCACAGCTAAGACCTCCGGGCAAGGCCTCATCTGGAGACCTGCAAGGGAAAGAGAATCTCATGAATTCACAATCACTCAAAGGCTGGGAAAGTGAGACAAGAAAAAACTACGAATGCACACGGCCCACACACAAACACAGCAGCCCAATCTAACTCCGGTTCTTCCCACGGAGCCGTCGAGGGTCAGGAGTGCCTGCTGGCAGTGTGTGTCATGTGCCAGAACAGTATGGCTGGGGTAGGGCTCTGCCTAAGCAGGAGGAGGGCTGCTGTCAACACCCCCTCCCCAGCGCTCTGTTACCTCCCACTGCATGCTGCCGGCAGCAAGCTGCAGAAGGGAGAGAAGGATGTACCCAGGACAGGGATGCCAGCCTTTGTGCTCTGAGCCTGACACTGAACAGCAGTGCAGGCTTTGCCTAGATGCAGGGCAAACACTTGAAAGGGCAGGCATTCTTCTGGGTCACCTTCTTTGGGGTGTGTGTACCTTAGTTCTGTGCCCTGAATTCTAAGGACAGGAGGGGTGAAGCAACCTCTGTACCCACTGGCACCTGAATTTGAGGCACAGCCTGGGCAGCAAGGCAGCCTTGCTGGGACAATGGGCCAACACCCAGCAGAAGATCCACCCAAAAGCCTCCAGTCAGTTCTAGAGAAGATACGCTCATAGGCCGCAGGCAGCCTGCTCCCTTCTGTTGCTGGTGGCTCTAGCCCTGGCCGTGCAGCATTGGAGAGGCAGAGCCACTAGGGCTAGAGCTATTTCCACATAGCCAAGAGGCCAGCGATGCCCAACCAAGATGCCTCCTGGCCAGTTCCAAGCAGAACAAACTGGTTGACTGGTTGGTACTTGCCAGGCACCATACACAGGTAACAGACATCACTGCAGGAACCCCAGAATATATGTGGAGGTTGGACTCCGGTGACAAGGGTATGGGGGACACTTGGGGTTTAGTTTGTCAAGCCACAACAAAACATCAACAATGACACACCATGAGAAGCGGACAAGCGATGCAGGAGCAAGTGATGGAGACGCTCACACACAGCAGCCAGGGCTGCCTGGCTTGGCAGGGCGTGCATGCATGGACTTGGTGCTGCTGCAAACACAACGACAAAGGACCCAGGATGGTGCTGGAGTGTTACCTTTTGGCTTTCAGAGGTGTCCCACTCTGCTGGCTCTCGCAGCGGGGGGAAGTCTCACCCCCACCTGGCCTAACAGGCTTCTCCCCAAACCCTCCCGGCTCCAGCTTGCGGCTCTGTCTGTCAACCAGGGGCCTTTGGCTGGAGAAGCTCCTCTTGGCCAGCTCCTTCTTCTCACCCAAGCTGCTCCCTGACAGGCCATCCCCTTGTGCTTCTGGCTCTGCTGAAAGGCCTTCTCTCCGCTCCCTGCGCTCGCTGAAGTCGCTGCTCTCAGAGGCTGTCTCCCATTCTTCGTTGGCATGATCAGAAGAATTCTGGTAGGAGAGCTCCGGGGACCTGTGACCTCCGGGGCCACCTTTGTCCCCAGGACAGAGTTTGGAGCGGCCTGGCCACTGGCTCGCCAGCAGGTGAGGATCATCCTCGGGTCCCCACAGGCCCAGGGACTCTCGCTCTTGGCGGAGGCGGCGGAAGCGAGGGGGCTTGTCTTGGCGTGGGGGTCGCCTTCGTCGGAACGGCCGGTTCTCTATGTTCTCCGAATCTACCCCGTGGTCATCTTGAAAGAAAGATCTCTTGTCTTCCATTCGGCTGTCCTCAAAGACCCTGCTGCCAAACGCATCTGAGTATCGGTAGGAGTCTGGAATGTAGTCTCTGTCGGTGGTTCGCCGCGGGCCACACGGGTCGGAGGTGCCATACTCTTGCCAGGAGCCGCCGGGGCTCCTGCTCTGCCAGTGGGGCGGCTCTTTGGTGATAAAGGTTCTGCGGCCGTAGCTGCAGTTGCTCAGCCGGGGCGGGAGTGCTCGCCCGCAGGCCCGGGGTCCACGGCTGCGGCCATCGAGGCTGCCCTGGTCTTCGGGGTAAGTCCTGTTGGAGCGCCAGGAGTCCTTCTTCAGGGCACCCTCGTCCCTCTCCAGAAGCGTGCCCTCCTGGCCCGGCTCTGCGCCCCGCTGGCGCCTCCGCTTGGGCAGCTCTTCGTACTCCGAGCCCTCGCTGTGCGTCTCGCTGGCAATGCGCCGTCGGGGCTTGGCTCTGGGGCAGTCTTCTGGTGGGGGGAAGTCCCGCAGGCCCCGGCCCCGGCCACTGCGCTGACCACTGCTGTACATGCCACGGGCCCCGAGGACACCCGGGCCACACAGCCCGCTTGTGCTGTTGCTGGTCAGCCGGCCTCGGAAGGTGAACTCTCTGAAGCCACGGCCTCGGCTGCGGGCCTGGCCTCGGCCCCCAAACGCCTGCTCCTCGTCTATGAAGATCCAGTTGTTTCTCTTGGTGGGAGGGATTTCACCGGCCTCCCGAGAGGGCCTGCTCTCCCAGGCCTTGTCCGGCTTTACATTCTCATCCAACTTGCTGGCCTCGTGGCCAAACCCAGCTCGGGCAGCAGCCTTGTCCTCCAGGGCAGAAGAGGAAGCATTGGCCAGGGCGGGGTTGTTCTCTTCATCTTCATCCTCTTCGGCCCTGCAGATGGGCTCCTTTTCTGTGGCTGGCTGTGAGCGCTCCTCTCCCAGGCCCTGCTTGACCCTCTCCAGCTCCTTCTCCTTCTCCTCCACCTTCAGGGCCTTGAGGACGGGTTTCTTAATGGGTCCCGACCTCCGGGTCCTGCCCGGCTGTTCCTGGTGCTGGCTGCTGGAGCTCCGGGGCTCGGGTGTCCACTCAGACTCTGAGTTTGTCTGTTTCTTGGGGCTCCCTTCCTTCTCCCAGGAGGAAACGTGGAAGGACGGCTCCTCCCGGGGTGCCTCCAGCTCGACACCATTGACTGTGTCAGCGGCCTTTGGCTGGTGGCCAACTTCCCAACTGCCATACTCTGGCTTTTTCTCGGCTGGGACAAAGTCAGGCTCCAATGGAGGACACCTGAGATTTGGGGTACGACCCCCAGGAGCACCCACCTCCTGAACATTTTCCTGAGGTGGAAATAAAAGCTCCTGGCCTATTCTTTGAGAAGAGATACAGCTGTCAAAGTCTGCTTGGGCCTTCTTGTCAAAAGCACTCAAGTACTCCTCCCCTCTCTCCTCAAAGAGATCGCGCTGGGCACTTATGCCCCCTGACCTTCCGGGGGAGGCAGAGTAAGAGCTTTCATTCCTGAAAAGGAACCAGAAAAATCAGTCAATGTGATTGGAGCTTGGTTCCTGGTTTCCATGCTGAACAGAGCTTAGTTCTTTAAAGAAAAAAAAAAAAAATGTTTTTAAAAAAGAAAGGAAAACACAAGCAAACATTTGCTCTATCTTAAAACACGTTGCTCGGTGGCCCCTGGAGTCCGTGAACGTGGAGAAGACAGTGGTAGCTCAGTGCACCACCCTGGAGACAGAGAGGAGCTGGCGGTTCCCTGGAGCAATGAACAAGCTGGAGCCTGGAGCCTGTGAGCCTGGGCCTAGGGATAGCAGGGCTAGCTCCATCTACTTACACAGGAGGAGCAAGCCTGGAACCCCCATCTCAGCATACCTGCCTTTGCACTCTCTTACCCTCATTTGCCTTTACCCCACGCCCACAGTTCGGCGACCGTGGGGTTCCTCCTGGGCCTTCATCTGGTCATCAGGAAAAGCCACTCACAATCAAGCATCCAAGCACACTTCCTCACACTCCTTCCCACCTGCCTGGGGCAGTGTTTCCTGGGATGGGGCCTTTTCCCAGGGCCCTACATCAGGACTGCAGAGTCTTCTTTCAGCTGCAGGGCAACAGGAGCAAGCGTTGGCTCACCTGACATGCATGTCCATAGTCAAAGTGTCAGCAGACTTCGGGTGGGGCAGCGAGTAGCTCTTGTTCTGCAGTGCCATGTAGCCCTCTGGGCTCCAGACAGGGGCTGGATCAACGGCAGTCACTTTCCTTTCTTGGAGTGGGGGCACACAGTTTTGATCTTCAGAGCGACAGCCAGACCCACTGAGGGACTCTTGGGGCATGATGGGCTTCATCAGTCCTGAAGAAAGCAAAGGATCAATCTATGTCATCTCACTTAGAAAGCCTGGCAGCGACCAAGGCCAAATACAGCCTCAAAATAGAGGTGACTGCCCTAACTGTCACACAGACATGCCAGGCACCCCTTAACCACTCAAGTCCTCTGTTCTGATGCGAGGACCCTGCTGGCACAGGCATGCCACCTGACCTGCTGCTCCCAGCTCTTAGGAGCCAATCCTGGTTCCCAGAACAAGAACTCATGTTGGAGGCAATGAAAGTGGTACGTGGAAACCAGAGATCTCAGACTAAAGATGTTGGTCAACCCAACGAGCCCACAAGAGACCAAGAGCTATGTGGTCAGATGAGCCATGTCCCAAACAGCACATGAAGGTAGCACTCAGCGGATTCAGATCCTTCCCAGGAGAACATAAACGGGAGTTTGCCTTCACTCCCCTCTATCCCTGTCCTAAGATGGACAGCAACATCTCACACTTTTACGTGGGAATGGGGGATGCGGAATGAACTGGCCCAGGCAGACAAGGATACAGGGAACACGACAGTCTTACCAGCTCTACCTATTGAGACCCTGAACAGAGCATGCCCCCAATCCCCCAAATCTGGGGGCCTGGTCTGCAGCACCCTCTCAGGACCAGGGTCCTTTCAATCTTCTGAGACACTACTTTAAACAAAGACCCTCCAAAGATACATTAGAAAGCTCTTGCCCTCTGGAATAGGGAATTGACCAGGAAGTCTGTCTTGGCCTGGGTCAGGATAAGACAAAAACAATCAGCTTCTAGGAATTCAAACCATGCAGGCTTTCTTTCCTGGGATTTTGGGGAGGTGTGAGTTCAAATTCTTGCCTCACAGTAAGATGTAGAAATTAACCAAGCGTGGTTGTAGAGTAGGAGAGGAAAGCATAGAGTTCTGGAGGATAGACCCTTAATCCAATCTTTATGGGGTCTTGAAACCCAACTCACAATCCAAAATTAGCAGAACACGTCTGGATTGTATTCTCCCATGGCTAGACACCTCCTGGAATAATCTGCTGAACACTAGAGAAAATTATATTTAAATGGAATTAAGAACTTAAGAAAAGCAGGCACCAAGAAGATGGCTCAGTGGGTAAAGGTGCCTGCCACCAAGACTGACAATCTGAGTTTGTTCCCTGCAACCCATATGGTAGGAGGAGAGAACTGATTCCCCCAGGTTGTTCTCTGACCTCCACATGCATGTATGTGCTCTACCCCCAGTAAGTCTATAAATGTTAAAAAAAAAACAAAACAACAGAAAAATAGGGGTTAGTGAGTTCCAGGACAGCTGGGGCTACAGGGAGACCCTGTCTCAAAAAGACCAAAAAACAAACAAACAAAAAAACTAGAGGTTAAAGAAATGGCTCAGCAGTTAAGAGCTCTGTCTACCCCGAGTGGCACCAGCACACAAAAGGTGGGGTGAATACTCGAGACTGGAGGCGATCGACTGGCCAGACACTTTCATGAAGAGGCAAAGACCCAAGTCACGAAGGAGTAAAGGGAGCCCAGGGTCTAGAAAGAAGACGAGACTGAAAAGAGAGACAGAGATGGGGCTGGAGAGATGACTCAGGTTAAGAACAAAGAGACACTGGTAAAGCACAGGCAAATCTTGCCTGGCGTGGTGGCACATGGCTTTTGTTCAAGCACTCAGGAGACAGAGGCAGGTGGAGCTCTCTGAGTTCAAAGCCAGCCTGATCTATATAATGAGTTTTGGGGCCAGCTGGGGCGACTGGGAGACCCTATCTCAAAAAGATCAGGAAAAAAAAAAAAAAAAAAGAATGGGAAAACCTTGACATGAACAGTGAGGACAAAATAACAGAAATAGGAGTTGCAGAGACGGCTCAGAGGTTAAGAGCACTGACTACTCCTGCAGAGGACCCAGCTTCTATTCCCAGCACCCACATGGCAGCTAACGACTGTCCATGACTCCAGTTCCAGGGGATCCGATGTCCTCTTCTGACCTCCTCGGGCATTGCAGGACACCCACGGGTGCATCTACCTACACGCAAGCACAGTACCCACGTGGTGTCTAACAACTCTAGTTCCAAGGGATATACGCCCTCTTCTGGACTCTTTAGGCACTACACAACACAGATACAGGCAAAAGACTCATACACATAAAATAAAATAAATTCTTACAAAACCACAGAAATAGTTAACTACCTATTTGATGAAAACAAGGAAGAAGCAGAAGAGCCATCGGAGTTCGGATGAAGGGTGAAGCTACTGATCAGCCTTTGCTACCTCAAGGGTGCGTATCAGAATTTCAATGTTGTCACAGAATACAGAAGAGAAAAATTGCCCAAGGTTAGAAAAACAGCCAGGCACTGTAACAACCATGAGTCAAGCCTCTAATGTCAGCAAAGGCAGAGAGGCTCATGAGTTCAAGGCCAGCCTGAGGTACAGAGGGAGAACCTACCTCAGAACTACAGCCTGGGATACAGAGGGCAAGCCTGTTTCAAAACTACAGCAGGAAAATTTAATAAAACAAAATGCAGGGATGGAGGGAAAAAGAGATAAACAGAATAAAAATAGGAGAGCAGGAAAATCTAAATATAATAATCTAATAAATTTAAAGGAACCAACTTTGGTAGTTAAAAGCCATTGACTTGGGGCTGTAGAGATGGCTGAGTGGTTAAAGAGCACTTGCTGTTCTTGCAGAGTACCTGGGTTTGGTCCCTATCACCACATGATGGCTCACAACTGTCTAACTCCAGCTCCAGGGAATCCAGCACCCAGTGGCCTCCCACATGCAGGTGGTGCACATAAACTTGAGCACCCACACATATATAACGCATAATTTTTTTTTAAACTTCAAAAAATTGCCATAGACTTTCAGGGCGAGTATAGTCATTCTCTTGCATGTATAAGATACACTCCCTAAAAACCAGGGCTCAGAGAAGCCAGCAGGAAAGGTTGGAGAGGGAGGGGAAGGGTCATGCAAGAGTCTAAAACAAAATCTCAAATGTCAACCACTCTAGATCAGAAGTTGGTCACAAAACTACAAGCCTCAAAGGGAATTCAGGCTGTTATCTGTTTTTATAAATCAAGTTTTATTGGGAAACAACCATGTGCGCTCATTTATTGTTGTTTACAGCTGTTTGGTAGCTGATAAAAGCCTACAGTATGTACTATCTGAGGGACAAAGTTTGCGGCCATGAAAGCCATAGCATCTAACCATAACAAGGCAACACTGGAAGCGAGCACTGTTAAGCCGTCACCAAGTCAGACATCAATAAATAAACGAGCATCCAGCATACCAGTTACAGAAAGAACAGAATAGTAAGACAAAGGATTGAACCAAAATCGGACTTTAATAAAAGGCATTAGACAAGCCTTGGGAAAGAATAATCATGGATAAAGAAAACCCAACGGTAAAAACAAAGAGGGACTCAGTGAACAGTAATCCAGGAGAGATATAAGAGTTGATCCAACTTGCTGAGAATGTGGTGCACACCATTAATCTCAGCACTTGGGAGGCAGAGGCAGGAGGGTTTCTGTGAGCTCGAGGCCAGCCTGGTCTACATAGTAAGTTCTAGGCCACCTGGCTATAGGGAGACCTTGTTGCAACAACAACAAAAAGTTAATCTAAACAACTTACAACACACAATTTCATGACTTTTCCCAAACAACTTTTTTATTTCCTGAGACGGGATATCAACCTGTAGCCCAGGTGATCTCAAACTCACCAGCCTATCTCAGCCTCCTGAGTGCTGAGATTACACACACACTCCCAACAACTTTGACAAGAACACAACCATAGCTTTAACTTTGCAAAACTCAGACCGGTTGCATGACCTGACAGAGGCCAGACAAGATTCCAATGGGTCTATATACACACACACACACACACACACACACACACACACACACGAACACAACTGTACCTTTAACTTTGTAAAACTCAGACCAGTTGCATGACCTGACAAAGGCCAGACAAAATTTCAATGGGTCTACACACACACACACACCCCACCCAACAACTTTGACAGGAACACAACTGTACCTTTAACTTTGCAAAACTCAGACCAGTTGCATGACCTGACAAAGGCCAGACAGGCCTTTCACTGTGCTACCCATTCATTTGGGCCCCAGTGCTCACCTGAAGGATGCAGGGCTGAGGGGTAGAAGTCCACGGGGGTTCGAGTGGGTGTGATGCGTGGGTCCATGTAGGAGGGCATCATCATCCATCGAGGGTCAAAGCCCAACATCTGGGGGTGGTGCGGGTAGAAGGTACGCTGGGGGTGGGAAGGCGGAGGGTACACCGGCTGCCAGTGTTGCATCTTGTATAGCTGCTCCTAACAGAGGAAGAAGGCCTGGTTAGGTAGAGTAGGGTATATGTAAGTGCTCACAGGCACACTCCTCTAGCTCTCCAGGAGGGGGCATAGGAAAGCCCCAGGATGGGCAGCTGCTCCAAGGGGACCATGAGCATAGCGTGTTACAACTTTCAGGCTGAGCTGACAGCCACGTTGTTATGGCCAGGGCCTGTCTGTACCTGCTCTAATCTCGTCAGACTAGGCTTCCAGTTAGAGATCTTTGCTAAATTTGACCAGCTCATCTCTCTAGGGCGTGACCACCTCCTTTGTCTCCATCTATCATGGGAGGATGGTGACCAATCTGTCCCTCCTCCCTCTAGTCCTCTATAGTTTCCACATCATTGGAGGTTATCTTTCCACATTCCCCACATTTGCCTGCCCCAAAGTTTCAGAAGAGTTTTCAGTGTCCTCTCTGCTTTCTGCCTAACAGATGGACCCCAGAAAGCTACCGGCAGCCAAAGGAGTCCTGTAGGATCTGGCCGGATCTGCCTCCCTCACTACACCCCCATAACACACGCCTGCCTTCTGCTTCAGTCCTTCAGGCCTTTGGCATTCCTGGCCCCTTGGCTATGATGCTCCTCTCTCCTCCGCCCCTAAACTGAGTTTCTAGCCTAAGCACATTCCCTCTGGAAAGCAGTCAGCAGACCAGACCAGGTCCCTGTTCTGTGCACTCTTGTGCTCCTCTGCACCTCACATAGCAGGCCACTGTTTTGTGTGGCTGTCTCCCTGGTTAAACCCTAAGAGGCTGTGTATGTGTAGTTCGCTGGGACACTGTGCTCTGGCACCCTTGGGTGCACAAAAGATGAACACAAATCATCTGATACCCTTGCTCTTCCCGACCAGAGACCTCTGATACAGTTGTCTACGTGGGCCCTGAATCCACACTGTGAGGTTTATGTGCTGAGTCAGACTCCAAGGACAATCTCCCAAGAGGCCTGCAGCCCACTGGCCAGTCTGCAGACAGAAAGCCCCCTCAACCCGCCAAAGGGCTGTGGCTCATCCAGGTGTTTCCGCTGGCACTCCCAGCATCTCTGAGGAGTGCTCAATCACCAGAGCTCATTGATGGGGAGACTAGAGCTGCTAACTCCCCAGACCACGCAGCACTTCTGGCTAAACCCTAGGTCTCTGAGGACCAGAGCAGCCAGGTGCCCCTGCTGCTCTCAGGTATCCTTTTACTCTTGAGAGGGACTTTACCACCACTACCTCCTCCACCCCTACAAGGAGCTGCTGGGAGGACCAGCTGCCACTTCATCTGGCAGGCCCAACTGCAGAGATTCACCGTCAGCCTGCGAGTAACAGTGTGTTGTGCTTACATAACGATGCCATAAAAGTCACTGGTATGCTTCCATGGGCCCAGAGCAGAGAAGCTGGGTGGGGGTTTATAGGAAATTAAAGGAGATCCTGGGAAAGACTTAACACCTCAAGCATACCCATTTAGGACCATTTTTAGTTAATAACATACTATGCACCCAGCTGCTAGGCTTACATCAAGTAACCTCCTTTATTAACTCAGTTTTCATCAAAATCCTAACACCAACTGCTGTGTTTCTTTGTTCTCTTGGGTACTAGGAATTGAATCCAGGTCTCACTCCTACTAGGCAAGCCTCTATCCCTGTGCCACAGCCCCGGTCCCAATGACTACCACTGTCTACGGAGCACAGCTGCTGAGACTATAGGGACACAAGGCATCATTCTAGCCTCCGGCCACAGCATCTTCTCTGGAGCAAAATCACAGGTCCCTTTTCAAAAGGTTTCAGGACACCCATAGGAACAGCCTTTGACCTGCTCATGCATGTCACTGCCACAGAGCTCTCTGCCCGCTGAGGCAGTTATACATTCTCTCTGGTTTACACAAGAAGACCAGGGCCTTGATGGGCACCGTGAACCTGTCTAGTGCCACACAGTGCTGCTTGAGAAACACTGTCAGGATGGAAGCCCTTCTCCAATTTGATCTCTTAATCCAAAGCTGACAAGCCCTTCTAGCGGCTCCTGAGATAGTACATAAAGTTCTCAAGGCCACAGAGGGCCCCAGCAGCCTCTGTGTGTCTCAGCTGTGCCAGAGGGGAACTATTCGGAATGAAGAAACTCCCCAAAGTGAAGCAATGCAAGTCAGAGGGCACACCACTCAGTGTACACAAGACCAGCAAACCACACGCATTTGATTCGTTTGCAGGAGCCCCTGACATGGGAATATTTTCCAAGGTCACAAGTCTTGAGTGCCAGTCTTGACACCTGCACTGATTGCTGGGTTTTGGTGTTTCTTTTTATTTTATGTGTAAGTGTATTGCCTGCATGTATGTAAATGTACCTGTGTTGTGCAATGCCCATGGAGGTCAGAAGAAGGCATCAGATCCCCTGGAACTGGAGTTGCAGATGGTTGTTGCAGATGGTTGTTACTGCCATGTGGGTGCTGGGAATCAAACCTGGGTCCTCTGCAAGAGTAGCCAATACTCTTAACCACTGAGTCATCTCTCCAGCGGCCAGGCCTACTTATGATGACCTGGACGTCACACCTGTCTAATTTACCTGCTGCTGCTGCTGCTGCTGCTGTTGCTGCTGCTGTTGCTGCTGCTGCTGCTGGCGCTGGAACCGGGGAGGAAGAGACTTCTGATACTTGCTGAACTCCTGTGCAGGGGACCCCGTCTCCCTGCCTTCCTCCTCGCTGCTGCTGCTCTGAGCCACTACAGGAGAAGTAGTTGGTGTCTCTTCTGAGAACATGGTGGAGGCTTCCTGGATAGGGAATTCTGGGGAGCCTGGGAAAAAGGCAGGCAGAGAAATGTCCCAGTGAACCCACACGGGCTGGCAACTGTACAGTGAACATCAGGGTCTTCAGCCTGAGGCTGCAAATGTCCCACTGAGTAACTGGGCCCCATGCTGCACTGCATCAATTGAACTGTGGATTCCCCAGGAAGCACGACAGTAAGGAGGCTCCACCTACCACCACCCAGAGACGAAGACACTAAGGATCAGGTCAGAACTGCACATTGCTGTGTTGGATCTGGTAAAGGACTCTGGTAATGAGAGCAGTCCCAAACACAGTGACTGCCTAGAGACTCATCACACCACAGGAGGGCGACGGGAGAGGGGTTGGAGTGGGGCTGTCTTCTGTAGTCTCCCTTGCCATTTCTACACCTGTAAGGATAACAGCCATGGTGCTTCCATGGGGCTTTTGTGAGAATTAAGTGAGATCATCTACATAACATACAAGGAACATGGCCTGGCCTGCTGATGCTCATGGCTGACTCAAGCTCACTGTCGCCTCCATGAACACTAAGAACTGCAGTCTTCACTTGGGCTTTAACCATCAGAAGTACATCTGCAGTTCCCTGAGGACCTTAGCCAGAAAGGCACTGGTGGCTTAGATGCCAATTACAACCCCCATATAAGAAGCTTCTATGGACTGAAAATTATAGGCCATGTCTCCCAGCAAGAGTTGATTTGAAAGGGCTGGAGAGAAGGCTCAGCGGTTAGTGTTTGCTGGTTTTTCAGAAGATTGCTGTTCAGTTCCCAGCACCCATATTGGGCAGCTCATAACCACCTGCAACTCCAGGTCCACGGGGATCTGATACCCCCTTCTGGCCTCTACAGGCACTCACAGACAGATAAATAATAAAATAAATATTTTTGTTTGATTTATATTTTTGAGACAGGGTCTCCCTGTAGCTCTAGCTGGCCTGGAACATGCTATGTAGATCAGAATGGCCTTGAACTCACAGAGATCCGCCTGCCTCTGCCTCCCAAATTCTGGGGTTAAAGGATTATGCCACCACGCAAAATCTTTAAAAGAAGAGTGCATCTGAACCGATGGATGGGAATGACAGAGAATACAGCTGATCGTGTCTCTGGAGGGTGACCCTTATCCCTACGTTAATTACAATGTACTGTCCACTATCTCTTGAACAGCCACACCACCCATTTCTTTTGGAACTGTTACTGTTGGGAAAAGTGTTGGGCAGGTCTCTTTTTGTTTTCTGTAAAAGGATCTTGTGCTTTCACCTATGTCTTCAGTCCTGTTTGGTTCAGCAGCACAGTGATAGTGATGGTGAGATCAATGGGATCAGCACACATGTGCAAGCTCTCTGTCCACTACCAACAGGCATGGGCCCTCAGCATGCTGGTACGTACCCAGAGTCACACATCTAAAATTACATTGTGTATGAGTACGTGTGTGTATGCACACATATGCAAGCCCACTCCTGGATTCTGTGCAGGTCACAAAATGAAAAGGTCAGAAAACAGCCTCCAAGAGTGTTCTTCCTTCTGCCGTGTGGGTTATGGGGACTGAGCTCAGGTTCTCAGGCTTGATGATCGCGTTCACTAGCTAGCTTTTCATCCTGCTAGCCCAACACATGGTATAGACGAAAAGCATTTCCAGAGAGGCCAGGCATTTCCCTAGCTAGTTTGTAAAATTGAAGATGGGGGGTTGGAGAGATGGCTCAGTGGTTAAGAGCGCTGACTGCTCTTGCAGAGGACCTGGGTTTGATTCCCAGCACCCACATGGCGGCTAGGAACCATCCCTAGCTCCAGTTCCAGGGGACTCCAAAGCCCTCTTCTGACCTCCAAGGCACTGCATGACACTGGTGCACTTACACACATGCAGGCAATACACTCATACACATAAAATGAAAAATAATAAATAGCTGGGCGTGGTGGCACACACCTGTAGTCCCAGCACTTGGGAGGCAGAGGCAGATGGATCTCTGTGAATTCAAGCCTAGCCTGGTCTACAAAATGAGTTCCAGGACAGCTGGGGTTACAGGGAGACCTTGTCTCAAAAAGACCAAATAAAATAAATAAATAAATAAATATAAATAAATAAATAAATAAATAAAATATTAAAAAAACAAACCCCACGAAGATGTGGTCTAAGTTAGATCCCCAGAACCCACATAAAGGTGGAAGGAGAGAATGGATTCCTCCATGTTGGACTCTGACCTACACACACACACACACACACACACACACACACACACACCACACATAACACACACACTCTGTGGCATGTGCCCCTACCCTACAATGATAATAAATTAGAACAAAAAAAGAGTTGAGATAGCGCCATGCAGGACCTAGACAAACGCCCCAGGCCTATGCTCCTAAAGAGATGTTTCCCAGTATAATGGAGCTTTAGCCACAGGTCCTGCCATCTCAGAATTAAATGGCCTGAGGACAACCAGCTGTGCGGCAAGGCCACCTCTCACCTTTGTGGACCGTAGGGCCATTTTCCTGTGGCATGGCCTTCTCAGTGCCAGGAGATCGGGGAAGCTCTTTCTCCACCAGCTTCGGGGCCTCGCTGGCCTTCTGGGCCTGCTTGCACTTCTGGTCCAGCTGTTTGAGTTTGGCAGCGCACGCAGCCAGCCTCTCCTCCCGGGCTCGGCGCTCCTCCTCCTCCCTGCGCTTTCGAGCTCGTTCCACAGCCTCGGACATCTCTGACTGGATGAATTTCTGCCGTGGGGGTGGCTTGTCCTCCTTGTCCTCGATGGACTGCTGGCGGAACACGCTGCCCACTGTGGACTTCTACCAGGGAAGGGGAGATGGTGGGTCACAGGCTGCTTCCTCTGTGTCGCGCCTCCCTCCAGAGCCCTTCAACACCTAAGAGCACGGTGATGAGACACGCAGACCTGCTTTGTTCTGAGACAGGATCTTCCTAAAATAGCAAGTGGGGGCTTGCAACGTACCATCCTCCTGCTTCAGCCTCTCAAGTGCTGGGATCACAGGCATGCATCACCATGTCTAGAGTCTGGGACTTAATTCTGATGCATCCTTTAATGTATCTGGAAAGTGGTTTGAGCAAGTACCAAGTTTCCATATAAGGTATTAGTAAAATGGGGCCAATAAAGGAAGTCCTTAGGGTTAGACAGATGAAAGGAAGTGATGCTCACAAGGTATTCAATGTAGCAATCACTAGGAAAATAGTAAATGGTGTTCCATGCTCCCAGCACAAACATGGACTGTGACCTCCACAGGAGCAGAAAGCATGCATTGTTCCTGAGTCACAAAAGTGCCTCCCACCCCCTGTGAAAATACACAAGCCCTGGAGCCTGACAAGTCAGGAGAAAACAGAGTTCACTGTTAGACCTGACAACTGCAAACTGGGAAGGCAGGGCTACAAGGATCTCTTTCCGACAGTTCCTCCATCCCCAAGTCTCTTGCTGATTGCTGGTTACAAGACTAGCAGGATGTTGAGTATGCTGTGGGGAAATGATCAATACCAAGATGTCTCGCTGATCTGCAAGGAGCAGAGATGCAGGGACAGAGTGGCAGAGACCTTGAGGAGGGAGGTGGATCCCAGCCACAGGCACCCCAGTGACTGTTGACTGTCACAGCAAAATGGCTTCCTGTTTTCTTTTTGTTAGTGTATGAGTGTATTGCCCACATATATGAAGGTACTCACTTGTTGCACGATGCCCTCAGAGGCGAGAAGAGGGCATTGGATTCCCTGGAACTGGAGTTATAGATGGATGTTAGCCATGATATGGATGCTGGGAACAGAACCTGGGTTCTCTGCAAGAGCAGCCAGTGCTCTTAACTGTTGAGCTGTCTCTCTAGCCCATGACTTCCTGTTTTGAAAGGTGGTCACATAGGTGTATGTCACTGTCAAAGACTGTCAAACAAAGGGCTGGAGAGACAGCTTAGCAGTTAAGAGCACTGGCAGCTTCAATGCCCTCTCTGACCTCCACGGGTACTACATGACACGGGTGCACTTACACACATGCAAGCAATACGTTCATACACATAAAATAAAAATTAAAAAAAAAGACTATCAAACAAAAATGACGAGGCTCTGCCTTTTCCCGTAGGATAATTACATCAATATAAAAGAAATACACACTTGCATTTCCACTTAAAATTAACTTCTTGGGATCCAGGAGTGATTATTATAATGGTAAGATTGTAAGCTCCAGGGGCTGGAGAGATGGCTCAGCAGTTAAGAGCACTGGCTGCTCGTGCAGAGGACCCTGGTTCAATTCCCAACACCCACAAGGTGGCTAACAACCATCCGAAACTCCAGCTCCATGGGATCTGATGCCCTCTTTTGACCTCCATGGGCACTCTATGGCACAGATGCACTTATATGCAAGCAATATACTCATACACATAAAATTAAAATAATAAATAAAATACTTGGAAAAAAAAAGATTATAAGCTCCAGTTCAGAAGCATGAACATTCTTTTTTTTTGGGGGGGGGGCGGTTCTTTTTGAGACAGGGTCTCCCCGTAGCCCCAGCTGCCCTGGAACTCACTATGTAGACCAGGCTGGCCTTGAACTCATGGAGATCCGCCTGCCTCTGCCTCCCAAATACTGGGATTAAAGGCGTGTGCCACCACGCCTGGCTGGAATATTCTTTTTGACACAATATTCTTTGGACCAACAATACACTTTTCTTTCACTTTGCAACTGAAAAAAACATTTTTTTAAGTGTGTGTGTGTGTGTGTGTGTGTGTGTGTGTGTATGTATGTGTGTCTGAGTCTATGCCACATGAATACAGGTGCCCTCAGAGGCCAGAAGACGGCACCAGATCCCCTGGAGGTACAGTTATAGGCAGTTGTAAGTCTCTGGATGTGGGTGCTGGGAACCAACTTGGGTCCTCTGTAAGAACAGCAAGTGCTCTTAATCTCTGAACAATCTTTCCAGCCCCATACTTTTTTTTATATTACATTATTATTTTTTTTTATAATGTGTGTGTTACATGTGTGGGCACATGGCCACAACAGATGTGTGGAGGTCAGAGGACAATCTCGGGAGCCAGTTCTCTCCTTCCACCATCTGAGTTCCCGAGTGAAACTCAGGTCAACAGGCTTGGCAGCAGCCTTTACCCATTGAGCCATCTTTCCAGACCCCTTTGCACAGCCTTAAATCTGATTATCTTCTGCCTATAAATTTCCTAGAAATAAAACGGTCTCAAAGGGTCCATGTTCATTGTCAAGACTTGTTATGTATTCTAAAGTAAGCTATTATTTTACAGTGTTTGGCAAAATACCTGAATGGAGACAATCTTTCAGAAACTTGATGCATGAATTTATTACATAGATTTCATGATGGTTGACTTTTTCAGTTAATTTCCAGCACTGCTGTGATTAACACAATTTTGAACACTGAGCAACTCCAATCAAAATATGAATGGAAATTAGCATCAATTGCTGGTAACTTCTAAGGGGAGAAGTCCTGTGTCTGTTCTGTTTCACCTTTAGGTCCCTGCGCCAGCACAGTGCCTGGACATACAGCACTCACTACAAAGACTCAGGTAAAAGGCATTTACACTGTGTAAAATGTGGAATGGGAGCCTTTACTGAAAAGGCCATGTTTCCTAAGAGTGTTTAAAACAATGCCTTTCTCTTCCCCAGAGCTTGACCTCGAGCCACTAGGTGTGGCAGGAAAGGTGGGGGTGTGTCAACTGGCAGGAAGTGACAGTGGCTTGGTGGGGGGCAGAGCCCATCAGGGCCAAGGCTGTGTGCATGGAGAGGTGGTTTGGTTTGGGACGTCAAAGGAGAGGGGCATGACATAGAAATTCAGGGTACTGTGGAGGACAGCACCTCTGAGGGCTGTGGAGGGCATCTGGTCACACACAGGGGCTGCCCAAGAAGTTCAGTGTTAGGAGCGACATGATTTCTGTTGGAGGAAAGAGGTACAAATACGTAATGGGGGACTGAAGAAATAGCTCTGGGTAAAAGTGCTTCTGTGCAAGCATGAGCTAGTTCGAATCCCCAGAATCCATGCAAAGTTGGATGCACAGCGTGAGTGTGGTCCCAGTGCTCCTATGGGGAGAGGGGAGGTGGAGACAGAACCCCCAAACCACCCAGGCTGGCTAACTTGGTATATACCACAGAAAACAGGACCCTGTCTCAAACAAGGTGGAAAGCAAAGACAGACACAATGTTGTCTTCGGACTGCTACACACTCTCTGTGGCACATGTGCACCTGGATTCACACACACACACACAGATAAAACTGTAATACATTCCTCAGAGCTGAAGGCATCCCTGTGACTTTAGGATTTTCAATACAGACAGATACAGATAAACAGATTCGGATGCCTGTCTACCAGGACACACTCCCTCTCTCCCTTGTTCTGTCCACTGAGAAGGACTAAGAGCAGTGACATTCCAATAGTTTGCCAAAGAGCACTCCTGCTGGTGGCTAAATACCACCTCCCACTCTAAGGAAGCAACGTGTCTTAAAACAGCTGATCCAGAATAAAAGAAAGACTGACATCAAGATGCGTTTTGCAAGGGATTCTTCAGAAAGTAAGGAGAGGCTCAAAACAAGACACCAGGGGCTGGAGAAGAGATGGCTCAGCAGTTAAGAACACTGGTTGTTCTTGCAGAAGACCCAGGTTCAAATCCCAGCACCCATATGGTAGTTAACAGCTGTCCATAACACCAGTCCCAGGGGATCTGATAGCCTCTTCTGACCTCCACGGGCGGGTGCACTTACCTACATGCAGGCAATACAAGCATACACATAAAATAAAAATAAAAATAAATAAAAAAAAAAAGACACGACACATAACAAGGTTCCATGCCAGAGAGACTCCCAAAAGCCAAATCAAAGATAATTTCAGCTTCACACCAGATAATAACAGATTAAAATCTGCTGAAATAAATGGATAAATTGAAAGTGTAATGAAGAGGGGTCAGCGAGGTGGCTCAGCAGGTTAAGGTGCCTGATGCACATCTAAGATGGATCCCCAGACCCCATGTAAAGGTGGAAATAAAGAACAGACTCCACGAAGTTGTCCTCTGACCGCCACACATATGTTCCCCCGCACCATGCACACACACAGGCAATAATAATACATTTAAAAAGCCTTTTTAAAGTATGGCAAATAATGGGGTATCCAGTCTCATTATTTTTTCCCACAGATTTCTTGTCAGTCACATGAGCAGAGAAGAGGGACTGCACACATGAGCCTTGGCAACATCACATTAGCCAAGAGACCAATGGGCAGAGCAAGTCAGTCATCTGGTGGGGTTCAATGAGAAGAACCTGTGGAATATCCCAGAGAACCCGGCCGAGGGTGGAAGCCTAACCATGAGGAAGCATCAAGCCTGCCCAATCCAAGGGGCATTCCACTGGCTTGTCTTCTTCCAAAGCATCTAAGCCGTGACTGTTAGGAAGAGGCTGTGGAACAGGTACAGGTTGGCAAGCAATTTGCAGGTGGGCTTTTGCATAAAGGACCTCGGTGGGATGGCTGCCTGGTGAATTGGAGCAGAGTCTAGGATGAGCCTCAGTGAGGTGGCAAGGCCCATTTCCTGTGGCTCTCTAGAAAGCATCACTGTCTGGGCAGAAAACAGACATTAGCATGCTTGGCAGTGAGAGGGACTGGCTGGGTAGGTGACATACTCTTCAATAACCTGGAAAAAACAGACTGGATTTAATTCCAAGTCTTCTACAACTTTTGCTATTGCTTTAAAGGAGGGGCTGGCCAGATGACTCAGTGGTAAAACATTTGCCTCAAAACCTGACAACCGGGAGTTCAATCTCTGGAACCCACATAAAGGTGGAAGTAGAGAAAGTTCTCAATGAAGTTATACTCTGACCTCCACATTCACGCAGTGACATACATGTCCCCCTCCCCCCACCTCTCAGCACACATATGCACACACAGCAATTAAATTTAATTAAAATTTTAAAAAGGGGGTAAATCCAGGCATGGTAGTGCATACCTTTAATCCCAGCACTTGGGAGGCAAAGGCAGGTGGATTTGAGATTGAGGTCAGCCTGGTCTACAAAACAAGTTCCAGGCCAGCTGGGGCTACAGGGAGGCCCTGTCTCAAAAAGACTGGGGTAGGGGGGAGAAAGAAATATAACCTGCACTTTTCAGAAACTCAGCCACTGACGTCAACAAAGTGCAAACCCACAGGACAGCAGGTAGAGACACTGTTATCTTTAGGAACTCTCAAGTGGAGGGGTGGGACGGAGGGAGGGAGAGAGAAAGGGAAGAAGAAACAGAAAGGTGGGGGCATGAGTCAGACACAGAGCCTGGAGGTCCATGGTACCTGGTAGTTGGGGCCTGATGCCCAGCTGTGAAGCTTCCTGGAAGGAGGCTGAGGTTCTGGCACCTTTTGGACGATACGGGATGTGCCTACTGCTTCGCTCCAGTCCTTTCCTTCCTCTTGAGTGCGCTTTGCATCAGTGCTGTCGGCAGAGCTCAGTGACAACTGCCGCTGCCGCCTTGGGTCCCAGCTGTTCCTAGGACAAATGGCACTCCATTAAGTTTTCCCAGACAATCCAAGCAGACCTCACTGATCAGGGGCTGCTGGGAATTCTGAAGCCAGCTATTAGGCCAATTTATAGACCAACTCTCCTTCAACACCAAACTCATGCCCTTTACGTGTAAATGCCAAAATTCGGCCCTAGTATGTGCCAAGTCACCATCGCTCACAGAGCTCCAGAGAGATGTGTAACTCTTCCCATCCTTGATGGCAAAGATAAGGTCTCCCTGCAGCCCCAGCTGGCCTGGAACTCACTACATAGACCAGGCTGGCCTTGAACTCACAGAGATCCACCCACCTTTGCCTCCAGCAAAATATTTTTTAAATACTAAAAAAAAGAAAAAAAACCCAACAAGATACCACAATGAATGACAGGTGTAGAGAAAGCAAAGCGGTACAGAAAAGGAGACCGTTCAAGAGGGCTGTGGCAAAGGCTCTGTGAGGGCGAGGAGGTGTGCTGGGCAGAGCCAAGAGCTGTGGCCAGCACGGCCAGGAATGCACAGGTGTCCAAGGAGACAGTATCAGAGAAGGCTGGGGCACGATAGCAAACACTCATGCCTACCATGTCCACACATACCTGCGACAGGCAGGTGAAGAAGAAAAGAAGGCAAGAACGGACAAGACAGAAAGATTAACGACCGCTAGAGACGGCTGACTTGGTTCTGGCCCACCGGAAATGACCTAGGTTCTTAGGAGATGAGGGAGGCAGTGTGAAGGAAAGGACGTCAGAGGCAGGACAGAAGGGAGGCACACGGGCTGACACTATGGTCCAAACAAGGAAGGGTGCTAGTCTCAAGAGCCCCAGAGACAAAGAAGAGGAAGTTCCAGGGGCCAATCTCACATGCAGAAATAAGAGAGAATGTCAGAGGAGACTCGGAAGCTCCAAGTGCATCCTGGGAGCTGGCTGTCATCAAGAAGCGCAAAACACAGGAGGGCAGGTTTTAGGAGGTCACTTGGCACTCTGAACCTGAGGCGTCCCTGGTCACAGCCGCTGGCAGAACTGGGTCAGAGCCCATGTTTGACTCCTTCACATTCAATCCCTATCTACCGTTAAGAGGCAGGGACACAGTGTCCTGCTGCCCCTTTCCGTCTGCAATGTTTCATGTCACTGTTTTTGTTTTTTGTCTCATTGGGTAGGATCTCCCTGTAGCTCTGGCTGACCTGGAACTCACTATGTAGACCAGGTTGGCCTTGAACTCACAGAGATCTGCCTGCCTCTGCCTCTAGTGCTGGGCCTACAGGCTGTGCCACCACACCTGGCCTCATGTCAATAATTTTGATTTCAATTAGCAATCGCATCTTCCTCTGAGCCTCACGTTCCAAGAACTGACCTGTAGATGCATTGCAGTGTCCCAAATGTATCCAAAGCTTCAGGTAAAAATGAACCACATGAAAATTAACTACTGAGGTCTTGGGCAATTCACGTTCTCTTTTCTTTTTAAAAATATTTTATTTATGAGCCGGGCGTGGTGGATCTCTGTGAGTTCAAGGCCAGCCTGGTCTACATAGTGAGTTCCAGGACAGCTGGGGCTACAGGGAGACCCTGTCTCAAAAAGACCCCCCCCCCAAAATTATTATTATTATTATTTTTATGTGTATGAGTGTACTGCTTGCATGTATGTAAGTGTACCCATGTTGAGGGTGCATGGAGGTCAAAAGAGGGCATCAGAACCCCTGGAACTGGAGTTATGGTTGTTAGCCATCCTGTGGGTTCTAGGAACCAAACCCAGGTCCTCTGCAAGAGCAGCCAGTGCTCTTAACTGCTGAGCCCATCACTCCAGCCCCTGCTAATTCACTTCAATGTTGTGTTAGAGAAAGCATGACAGAGCTGGCTGCCTGCTCCCTCTAGAATGGGGGCACTTATTTTGGATGAAATAACAAAGGAAAAGACTTGGGGACTCCACAGACATGCAAATTACTAACAAGAAAACAAAGAGGAAAACATTTGTTACATTAACAAAATATTGATGTCTCACAATGTAAAAGCACTCATCAGACTTTAAAAAGCACAGTGACCAATGTGCAAGGAAACAGGCAATTCAAACAGGAGATAAAGGAAAGCAGTCATGTGCTGGTATCCTAGCAGTTCCAGCGACAGTGATAAAACTAAAGGAATTGGAGCAGTGTCATCTTTTCCAAAGCGCACAAAGTAAAACTAGTCCAGTGGGATCCAAGAAACAGAGGTTAAAGGGGAGCAAGAGCTGGACGTGGTGGCGCACGCCTGTAGTCCCAGCACTTGGGAGGCAGAGGCAGGCGGATCTCTGTGAGTTCAAGGCCAGCCTGGCCTACATAGTGAGTTCCAGGATAGCTGGGGCTACAGGGAGACCCTGTCTCAAAAAGACCAAAAAAAAAAAAAAAAAAGGTAGCAAGAATGCTCCTGCTCCTGGCACCTCCTAGTGTGCTCCATGGCAGGCAAGCCTCTGAGAGATCTTGGATTTACAGGGTGAGTTCCCAAAGCATGGCCACAAGAGCTTTTCAGGATGCCACATCTATCTCTGGTCTGGGGAAGAAGTGGACCACATCACCACACTTGGGAAATCAGATGCAGAGGTTTCAAAGTCCAGGACACTGGACCCAGATGATCAAGCCTGGATGTAAAGCCTGCCCTGTTTCTGTGTGTTGTCCTCAGCAGCCCTCATCCTCACAGCTGAAGAAGGTTGCTATGGAAACCAGGATATGCACCTGGCACAGTGCTCACCATGCTGCAGCACCAACAAACGTGTATGTATGTGTGCATGCACGTGTATGTACGTATGCTTATTTCTACAAGGCTGCTGGCAGGTGACACTGAGCCTACGCTGGGAGCTGGGATGGGGGCAGGGCCTTACCACTTTGGCCGTCCATCCTTCACAGCTTCTTCTTCCTCCTCATCATCGCTGAACTTCAGTTTCTCAGAATAGTCTACTTCCTCGTGGAGGCCTACAACAGCAAGAGCGTCCAGAAAGAGGTGAAAACATGAGCCTGTCAGAGGCATTCAGGGCACCGCAAGATGGTATCTTGTAGTCAGGCCTGGAGCGTCCCAACTGAGGATCCAGTGACCACCCCTGCATAAGCTCTGCAGGGTCAGGAAGGGATAGTCCTGGCTTCTAGAAAGAGCAACACAGTTGGACAATACTAATCCTCCCATAGACAAGTTCTAAACCAAGACAGGTTTTTTTTTTGGTTTTTTTTGTTTTTTTTTTTTTAATGTTTTCTTTTTTTTGCTTTGTTTTTTATTTTTTATTTTTTGGTCTTTTTGAGACAGGGTCTCCCTATAGCCCCAGCTGGCCTGGAACTTGCTGTATAGACCAGGCTGGCCTTGAACTCACAGAGCTCTGCCTGCCTGCCTCTGCCTCCTGAATGCTGGGATTAAAGGCATGTGCCCAAGACAATTTAAAAAAATAAATTTTTTTGGAGACACTTTCTCTACATAGCTCAGGTTCCCACAACATTTCTCCAGACCTTACTTTCAGAGTGCCAGGGCTAAGGGTATACACCACTAAACCAGGTTCAAACTGTGCTTCAAGGCAAAGAGGAGGAAAAGAGGCATAAAACAGTCAGTAGTCTGTCTTTGCAACAAAGAAATGTCATCAGGGAGATCTCTAGGTCATTGTCTTATGTGCCATCTGGCAAAGGCAGCAAAAGTCTCCATTAATTGAGAAACCGTCATAGGTCCATACAACGAAATATTATTTAGTCATACAACGAAATATTATTTAGCCATAAAAATCAATGTAGGTGATCAGGGAGATGGCTCAGTGAGGCAGGTACTTGCTATGCAGGTCTGAGACCTCAGCTAGGACCCCATTACCCACATAAAAGCCTGACAGTGGTGCATGCCTATAAGCCAAGCACTGAGAGGCAGACATGGATGGACTACAGGAGTTCACCAGCCAGGCAGTCTAGCCAAAATGCTGAACATCTGGTTCAGTGAAGACCCTGTCTCTAAAAGTACAGTGGTATGGTGGCACACACCTTTAATCCAAGTACTCAGAAGGCAGAGGCAGGTAGACCTCTGTGAGACTGAGGTTGGCCTGGTCTACATAGTGAATTCCAGGCCAGCTGGGGCTCTAAGGTCTCAAAACCTACCCTCTAAAAATAATCAAAAAGAAACAAGTGAGGGGGAAGGCCGACAGAGGAAGACACCGAGGTGTCACCCTGATCTCCACACAGACACGCATCCCCTCCACAAATTAACTCATTAGTTAAAATAAGTACGAGTAAAGTATTAATGTGCTACGAGAGACCTTGTGCCAAGAAACCCTGCTAGAAAATAACAGAAAGTGGCCAAAGCCCAGAGACAAAGCACCAATGTGTTTCAAAATGAATGAAGCAGAAATTCAAAGAATTAAAGATAGAAATATGCAAATTTCCAATCACACTGGAAGTTAGGCACAGCATTCCACAATAGATCTAAGCTAAACACCAAAAACACCTAAGAGTTGACGGGCACTCCAGCACCTCCACTAGCCTGGGTATTTACAGGGCACTGAAGAACACCCATCTTTTCAAGTCTACTTGAGATATTCTGCAACACAGATCAGATCCTGATCATGAAACAAGTCTCAATAAGCTGAAAAGAACTGAAACTACAACAAAGATGTTCTCTGAGTAATTAGAACCAAGTTAGAAACCTAGGAACACCCTGATAATTAAAACAAGCGGATCTTTTAAAATAGGTTTAGAAGACAGACACTGGAGGGTGTGATGATTAATTCTGTCAGCTTGATTTGATTAAGAAATGCCTGGGGGGAGGGGGGTGCCTAGGGTATTAGTGAGGCACACTTTTAGGTGCAGTTATGTGGGCCTTTCCCAAAAGGACTGATTACCTGGGGAAGGAAGGCAGCCCTGAATATGGGCATCAGCACCCTGTGGGCTGGGGTACCAGACTGAATGAAAGGGGTAAAAGAGAAGCTGGCTGTACTCCAGCATTCTCTTTTCTCTGCTCCTGATTGATGCAGGTAAGAGCCTCAGCCACAACTATCACACCTTCCTCATGATGGACTATACCTCTCCATAACCTGAGCCCCAAATAAACCCTTCCTTCCTGAAGTTGCCTCCTGCCACGTCACTGGTCACAGTAACAAGAAAAGTCACTAACACAGAGAACATCAACAAAGTCAAAAGCTCTCTCGCTATAAAGTAGTATTAGTGGATATTCTTGTCCTTAAGAAAAGAGGGCATATCTATCAGATTCTACACACAAAGGAATATTAGCAGTAACTTCATGCTAGTAAGTCAACAGCTCAAAAGACATGAACAAACCAAGGCCTGGTCTCTGTTTGCAGTGGTGCCTGTCTGTAATCCCAGCACTGAGGGGAGGGAGAGCACCTAAGAGACAGGTGGACCCCAGGGGCTCCCTGGTTGGTCAGTCTAGTCAAGATGGTGAGATCCAGGTTCAGTGAGAGACTCTGCCTCAAAAGAGTAAGGTAGAGAGGGATAGAGGAAGACACCTAGTGTGGACTCTTGGCCTCCACACATGGGTGAGCACACACGCACACGCACATACAAAAAAAAATAAAAAAAAAAAAAAAAGGCCACTGGGGCTGGAGAGATGACTCAGCGGTTAAGAGCACTGACTGCTCTTGCAGATGACCCGGGTTCGATTTCCAGCACCCACATGGCAGCTAAGAACCATCCTTAAATCCAGTTCTAGGGGAATCTGATGCCCTCTTCTGACCTCTGTGGCATTGCATGACATGGGTGCACTCACATACATGCAGGTAATACACTTGTACACACAAAATAAAAATAATAAAATATTAAAAAAAAAAAAGACCACCACAAACACAGAGGCCATCTTAGTAAGACATTAGCAATTTAACTCTAGGCACACAAAAAGTCGGTATGGTACTCCAGGAATACCATACTGGTTAAGCACTGAAAAGATAATCAACACCATCTACCATGTTGTCCAAATAAAAGAGAAATGTCCTGTAGGCATGGTGGTCCACGCCTTTAGTCCCAGCACTTGGGAAGCAGAGGCAGGCAGATCTCTGTGAGTTCAAGGCCAGCCTGGTCTACATAGTGAGTTCCAGGACAGCTGGGGCTACAGGGAGACCCTGTCTCAA